AGGGGCGGGTGCTTACGTTCTTCCTGCAACATGAGAAGGGAGGGAGGGACTCTCAGCAGGGATGCAGTCTGGGACACGTAGTTGCAAACCTAGCGACTTTGTTGTTAGATTCAATGACTTTTCAGACCCCCTAACGACTTTTTTTTAGAAAGAAAGGGACTTTTATCGACTTCTTCTGGAGTTTAGAGACTCTGACATGAAGCAGGCTTTCCTTACTGAGGAGTTAGCAACGCTGCTAAGGGTGCAGAGCCACACATGCGCTCAGAGCTCTGCATGGGAGACTGAAGCTGACAGAGCTGCAGCAGTTAGCAGGTTTCACCCTCAGAGACCACCAGGGGTTCATGTTGAGGCATTTTAATTTTTTTTTTTTTTTGTGCCATAGACACTGTCAGCACAATCTGCAGTTACACTAACAAAAATGCTGCAAAAAACAAAGAATTATGGAAAAATTACACATGGACTGACATAGAGGAGGATCTACACAAGTTTTTTACATCATGTTTTACATCATGCATCATTTACATCATGTTTTTTTGTAGTGGCATAAATAAAAAGTGACATTTGTGAGACTATACAGTGTTTTGTAAATAATTTTACAAAGAACGCCTGGGCCATTGCCTGCATTTTGATGAAAATAGAGGTAAATCACTATGTTCTTTGTTAAAAATTTGCATATGTTTTGAAGTTTACAATTTTTATTTGAAGTTTAAGTTTTAAAAACAGTTCATCACACATATTTGTGGTTTTCACAGTAAAAATGTTACTTTTTTCCACTCGGATTTTATGTTTTGTGTGTGAATTTGGGTCCATTGTGTAAATTCAGTATGTCAACATGATAAAATAACTGTAAATTCGCACAGGTGAGGTTGTGCTGAAAAAAATGATACCAGGCAAGGCACGTGATTGTCAAATTTTGTGTCAATATGACAAAGCGTATAGGCGTGAATCTCAACAATATGTATTTTCACCTTAGGGGACAAGAAAAAATGGACTTTTTTCTCCTGCCATGGGGGGGCGCTCTTTTGGGGAGTAAAAATTCCTTCACAAATGTGTTGATGGCTGGACATTGCATCATCCTAGAAAACTTGGAGGCCAGTGAGGACAAAAATAAAAAGTTATAAGACTTTTAAATATGTGGATTTTAGGGTTATCTTTGGCGCCCCCTAGAACCTAAACCATGGGGTGCAGCGTCATGATTTGAATAACTTTTAATGGCCATGGGGTGTAGATTGTCCTGAGCAAATGTGGTGCCGGTGGAACGAAAGCCTTCGGAGGAGTTAGCCACATTCCAATGTGTGCGGATCGGCAAAAAATGCGGAATAACCCTTTAACCGTACATTTGACAGATACGCGCGCATTGACTTTTTCGTAGATCTTATTGAGTTACATGTGTGTGTCAATTTTTGTGTCATTTTGACAAAGTGTATAGGCGTGACACTCAACAATGTGTATTTTCACCTTAGGGGACAAGAAAAAATTGACTTTTTTCTCCTGCCATGGGGGGCGCTCTTTTGGGGAGTAAAAATTCCTTCACAAATGTGTTGATGGCTGGACATTGCATCATCCTAGAAAACTTGGAGGCCAGTGAGGACAAAAATAAAAAGTTATAAGACTTTTAAATATGTGGATTTTAGTGTTATCTTTGGCGCCCCCTAGAACCTAAACCTTGGGGTGCAGCGTCATGATTTTGATAACTTTTAATGGCCACGGGGTGTAGATTGGCCTGAGCAAATGTGGTGCCGGTGGAACGAAAGCCTTCGGAGGAGTTAGCGAAATTCCAATGTGTGCGGATCGGCAAAAAATGTGGACTAACCCTTTAACCGTACATTTGACAGATACGCCCGCACTGACTTTTTTGTAGATCTTATTGAGATACATATGTGTGTCAATTTTTGTGTCAATATGACAAAGCGTACAGGCGTGACAGTCAATAGTGTGAATTTCCACCTTAGGGGGCGCTATGGAGCCATTTTGCATTTTATTGTTTGGGCGACTTCAGAATATCAAATTTTTCACCAGGCCCGGTCGTCCTGCCAAATTTCATGAGTTTTCGCCAGTGGGAAGTGGGCCATTTTCCAGTTCAAAGGGGAGGAAAAAGAAGAAAGAAAGAAAGAACTAGGACCCCGTTGGGGCACTGGCGGGCCCGAGCCGTGTCGCGTCTCCCCCCCCCCCCCCCCTTTGAGCCCCTGCTACTGTATAATCATGTGCATGTCTCTGTTCTAGCTCCAAGGTGAATCTTCACTGCTCATGTTCTCCTCAGAAGCAGTCACCTCACTCCCCTCAGGTTACTGTACACATGCACCAACTGCCTGCTTCAGGTTTGGATGGAGCTTCATGGTTGTCTTTTGGAGAAATGACCAGTCAAGTTGTGTTTGAAATTTGATTTTTTTCAGGGGCAAAAGGAGCCTCTGCATTCTTGTCAAATATGTAAATAGCATGTTTTTGCAGGTGCTAAAAACCAGACTCTGAGTGTGTGTGTGTGTGTGTGTGTGTGTGTGTGTGTGTGTGTGCGCGTGCGTGTGTGTGTGTGTGTGCGCGTTCAAGTCACATGACATATTTAACCGGATGTAGCTGCAAGACGGAGCCTCGTTGACTCTCCGTTTCAACTTATCTCAAAAGTGAGGACCTCAACCTATATAACAGTTTTTAAATTGTGTTGATAGGCCAAATAAAACCAGAGTTATGATAAATTATGTCCGCGATACTTTTTTTCTGCTTATTTTGATCACGTTCGGCGCTCGATCGTGCTGTATGAGACAGGAAAACATAGCATGCAGACATTAGCGACAGGTCTTACAGGCGGAAAAGGCTTGCCAAAAGAAAAAAAAAACACACCACAACATCTCTCCTATTGGTGGAAAACTTCACCACAACAACCAATCCAAAATTATATGGTGACTGATTGACAAGGGGCGGGTGCTTACGTTCTTCCTGCAACATGAGAAGGGAGGGAGGGACTCTCAGCAGGGATGCAGTCTGGGACACGTAGTTGCAAACCTAGCGACTTTGTTGTTAGATTCAATGACTTTTCAGACCCCCTAACGACTTTTTTTTAGAAAGAAAGGGACTTTTATCGACTTCTTCTGGAGTTTAGAGACTCTGACATGAAGCAGGCTTTCCTTACTGAGGAGTTAGCAACGCTGCTAAGGGTGCAGAGCCACACATGCGCTCAGAGCTCTGCATGGGAGACTGAAGCTGACAGAGCTGCAGCAGTTAGCAGGTTTCACCCTCAGAGACCACCAGGGGTTCATGTTGAGGCATTTTAATTTTTTTTTTTTTTGTGCCATAGACACTGTCAGCACAATCTGCAGTTACACTAACAAAAATGCTGCAAAAAACAAAGAATTATGGAAAAATTACACATGGACTGACATAGAGGAGGATCTACACAAGTTTTTTACATCATGTTTTACATCATGCATCATTTACATCATGTTTTTTTGTAGTGGCATAAATAAAAAGTGACATTTGTGAGACTATACAGTGTTTTGTAAATAATTTTACAAAGAACGCCTGGGCCATTGCCTGCATTTTGATGAAAAAAGAGGTAAATCACTATGTTCTTTGTTAAAAATTTGCATATGTTTTGAAGTTTACAATTTTTATTTGAAGTTTAAGTTTTAAAAACAGTTCATCACACATATTTGTGGTTTTCACAGTAAAAATGTTACTTTTTTCCACTCGGATTTTATGTTTTGTGTGTGAATTTGGGTCCATTGTGTAAATTCAGTATGTCAACATGATAAAATAACTGTAAATTCGCACAGGTGAGGTTGTGCTGAAAAAAATGATACCAGGCAAGGCACGTGATTGTCAAATTTTGTGTCAATATGACAAAGCGTATAGGCGTGAATCTCAACAATATGTATTTTCACCTTAGGGGACAAGAAAAAATGGACTTTTTTCTCCTGCCATGGGGGGGCGCTCTTTTGGGGAGTAAAAATTCCTTCACAAATGTGTTGATGGCTGGACATTGCATCATCCTAGAAAACTTGGAGGCCAGTGAGGACAAAAATAAAAAGTTATAAGACTTTTAAATATGTGGATTTTAGGGTTATCTTTGGCGCCCCCTAGAACCTAAACCGTGGGGTGCAGCGTCATGATTTGAATAACTTTTAATGGCCATGGGGTGTAGATTGGCCTGAGCAAATGTGGTGCCGGTGGAACGAAAGCCTTAGGAGGAGTTAGCCACATTCCAATGTGTGCGGATCGGCAAGAAATGCGGAATAACCCTTTAACCGTACATTTGACAGATACGCGCGCATTGACTTTTTCGTAGATCTTATTGAGTTACATGTGTGTGTCAATTTTTGTGTCATTTTGACAAAGCGTATAGGCGTGACACTCAACAATGTGTATTTTCACCTTAGGGGACAAGAAAAAATGGACTTTTTTCTCCTGCCATGGGGGGGCGCTCTTTTGGGGAGTAAAAATTCCTTCACAAATGTGTTGATGGCTGGACATTGCATCATCCTAGAAAACTTGGAGGCCAGTGAGGACAAAAATAAAAAGTTATAAGACTTTTAAATATGTGGATTTTAGTGTTATCTTTGTCGCCCCCTAGAACCTAAACCGTGGGGTGCAGCGTCATGATTTTGATAACTTTTAATGGCCACGGGGTGTAGATTGGCCTGAGCAAATGTGGTGCCGGTGGAACGAAAGCCTTCGGAGGAGTTAGCGAAATTCCAATGTGTGCGGATCGGCAAAAAATGCGAAATAACCCTTTAACCGTAATTTTGACAGATACGCCCGCACTGACTTTTTTGTAGATCTTATTGAGATACATATGTGTGTCAATTTTTGTGTCAATATGACAAAGCGTACAGGCGTGACAGTCAATAGTGTGAATTTACACCTTAGGGGGCGCTATGGAGCCATTTTGCATTTTATTGTTTGGGCGACTTCAGAATATCGAATTTTTCACCAGGCCCGGTCGTCCTGCCAAATTTCATGAGTTTTCGCCAGTGGGAAGTGGGCCATTTTCCAGTTCAAAGGGGAGGAAAAAGAAGAAAGAAAGAAAGAACTAGGGCCCCGGTGGGGCACTGGCGGGCCCGAGCCGTGTCGCGCCGCCCCCAGCGCGACAGCCTACCCCTCCCGATTGCGTCACACTCAAGGTCCAAAGATGGTGTGCGCACTTGTCTGTGGTCATTTACCATTATAATGAATGGGAGGCACAGTTTCTACCAAAACGCTCGCTGCAGACAAACTCCATGTCCTTTTTGAAAAAAGTCTGGACCATGAGTGAGGGCACAAACACAGCTAGTATATATCCAAATGGCAAGTTGCTCTTCCTTTCGGTTTTGCCGAGAGAGCGATGCGTTTGAGCCATTGAGCGATGGGCAGGAAAAACTTGACTTTTTCTCCTGCCATGGGGGGGCGCTCTTTTGGGGAGTAAAAATTCCTTCACAAATGTGTTGATGGCTGGACATTGCATCATCCTAGAAAACTTGGAGGCCAGTGAGGACAAAAATAAAAAGTTATAAGACTTTTAAAAATGTGGATATTTGGGTCCTCTTTGGCGCCCCCTAGAACCTAAACCGTGGGGTGCAGCGTCATGATTTGTACAACTTTGAATGGCCATGGGGTGTAGATTGGCCTGAGCAAATTTGGTGTCGGTGGGACGAAAGCTTTAGGAGGAGTTAGCCGCATTCCAATGTGTGCGAATCGGCACAAAATGCAAAATAGCCCTTTAACCGTACATTTTACAGATACGTGCGCATTGACTTCTTCGTAGATCTTATTGAGATACACGTGATTGTAAAATTTTGTGTCAATAAGACAAAGCGTACAGGCGTGACACTGAACAATGTGTATTTTCACCTTATGGGACAAGAAAAAATGGATTTTTTTCTCCTGCCATGGGGGGGCGCTCTTTTAAGGAGTAAAAATTCCTTCACAAATGTGTTGATGGCTGGACATTGCATCATCCTAGAAAACTTGGAGGCCAGTGAGGACAAAAATAAAAAGTGATGGGGTGTAGATTGGCCTGAGCAAATTTGGTGTCGGTTAAACGAAAGCTCTAGGAGGAGTTAGCCACATTCCAATGTGTGCGAATCGCCAAAAAATGCAAAATAGCCCTTTAACCGTACATTTTACAGATACGTGCCCATTGACTTTTTCGTAGATCTTATTGAGATACACGTGTGTGTCAATTTTTGTGTCAATATGACAAAGCGTAGAGGCGTGAATCTCAACAATGTGTATTTTCACCTTAGGAGACAAGAAAAAAATTGACTTTTTTGTCCTGCCATGGGGGGACGCTCTTTTGGGGAGTAAAAATTCCTTCACAAATGTGTTGATGGCTGGACATTGCATCATCCTAGAAAACTTGGAGGCCAGTGAGGACAAAAATAAAAAGTTTTAAGACTTTTAAAAATGGGGATATTCGGGTCATCTTTGGCGCCCCCTAGAACCTTAACCGTGGGGTGCAGCTTCATGATTTGTACAAATTTGAATGGCCATGGGGTGTAGATTGGCCTGAGCAAATTTGGTGTCAGTGGGACGAAAGCCTTAGGAGGAGTTAGCGAAATTCCAATGTGTGCGAATCGGCAAAAAATGCGAAATAGCCCTTTAACCGTACATTTTACAGATACACGCGCATTGACTTTTTCGTAGATCTTATTGAGATACACGTGATTGTCAAATTTTGTGTCAATATGACAAAGCGTACAGGCGTGACATTCAACAATGTGTATTTTTGCCTTGGGGGACAAGAAAAAATTGACTTTTTTCTCCTGCCATGGGGGGCGCTCTTTTGGTGAGTAAAAATTCCTTCACAAATGTGTTGATGGCTGGACATTGCATCATCCTAGAGAACTTGGAGGCCAGTGAGGACAAAAATAAAAAGTTATAAGACTTTTAAGACTGTGGATTTTTGGGTTATCTTTGGCGCCCCCTAGAACCTAAACCGTGGGGTGCAGCGTCATGATTTGAATAACTTTTAATGGCCATGGGGTGTAGATTGGCCTGAGCAAATGTGGTGCCGGTGGAACGAAAGCCTTCGGAGGAGTTAGCGAAATTCCAATGTGTGCGAATCGGCAAAAAATGCGGAATAACCCTTTAACCGTACATTTGACAGATACGTGCGCATGGACTTTTTTGTAGATCTTATTGAGATACATGTGTGTGTCAATTTTTGTGTCATTTTGACAAAGCGTACAGGCGTGACACTCAACAATGTGTATTTTCACCTTAGGGGGCGCTATGGAGCCATTTTGCATTTTCTTGTTTGGGCGACTTCGGAATATCAAATTTTTCACCAGGCCCGGTCGTCCTGCCAAATTTCATGAGTTTTCGCCAGTGGGAAGTGGGCCATTTTCCAGTTCAAAGGGGAGGAAAAAGAAAAAAGAAACAAAGAAAAACCACTTGGGGAATAATAGGGCTCTCGCAGCTGCTTAGCAGCTACGCTCGGGCCCTAACTAGGGCCCCGTTGGGGCACTGGCGGGCCCGAGCCGTGTCGCATCCCCCCCCCCCCAACGTGCTGCCTTCCCGTCCCATTTGTGTCCTCTGGCCATCGCCCTCTCTGGTAACGCCCATCACTGCAAAGACCCTTTTCCTTCATCGGCGTTTGCTGTTCTTCCTGCCAGTGCGTGTTGCTTTCACTTACACTTGCCACAGCCAGCCTCGTGAGTGCCTAGCCTATTGGATATCACTGTCACCTACACAGGACAGTCATTACCTTTCTATTAATACTTTGTGTTTTAATTTCACATTAATTTCCATATTGTATAAACGACTGGAAAAAACTTGAGCCCCTGCCCCTGTATAATCATGTGCATGTCTCTGTTCTAGCTCCAAGGTGAATCTTCACTGCTCATGTTCTCCTCAGAAGCACTCACCTCACTCCCCTCAGGTTACTGTACACATGCACCAACTGCCTGCTTCAGGTTTGGATGGAGCTTCATGGTTGTCTTTTGGAGAAATGACCAGTCAAGTTGTGTTTGAAATTTGATTTTTTTCAGGGGCAAAAGGAGCCTCTGCATTCTTGTCAAATATGTAAATAGCATGTTTTTGCAGGTGCTAAAAACCAGACTCTGAGTGTGTGTGTGTGTCTGTGTGTGCGTTCAAGTCACATGACATATTTAACCGGATGTAGCTGCAAGACGGAGCCTCGTTGACTCTCCGTTTCAACTTATCTCAAAAGTGAGGACCTCAACCTATATACCAGTTTTTAAATTGTGTTGATAGGCCAAATAAAACCAGAGTTATGATAAATTATGTCCGCGATACTTTTTTTCTGCTTATTTTGATCACGTTCGGCGCTCGATCGCGCTGTATGAGACAGGAAAACATAGCATGCAGACATTAGCGACAGGTCTTACAGGCGGAAAAGGCTTGCCAAAAGAAAAAAAAAACACACCACAACATTTCTCCTATTGGTGGAAAACTTCACCACAACAACCAATCCAAAATTATATGGTGACTGATTGACAAGGGGCGGGCGCTTACGTTTTTCCTGCAACATGAGAAGGGAGGGAGGGACTCTCAGCAGGGATGCAGTCTGGGACACGTAGTTGCAAACCTAGCGACTTTGTTGTTAGATTCAATTACTTTTCAGACCCCCTAACGACTTTTTTTTAGAAAGAAAGGGACTTTTATCGACTTCTTCTGGAGTTTAGAGACTCTGACATGAAGCAGGCTTTCCTTACTGAGGAGTTAGCAACGCTGCTAAGGGTGCAGAGCCACACATGCGCTCCGAGCTCTGCATGGGAGACTGAAGCTGACAGAGCTGCAGCAGTTAGCAGGTTTCACCCTCAGAGACCACCAGGGGTTCATGTTGAGGCATTTTAATTTTTTTTTTTTTTGTGCCATAGACACTGTCAGCACAATCTGCAGCTACACTAACAAAAATGCTGCAAAAAACAAAGAATTATGGAAAAATTACACATGGACTGACATAGAGGAGGATCTACACAAGTTTTTTACATCATGTTTTACATCATGCATCATTTACATCATGTTTTTTTGTAGTGGCATAAATAAAAAGTGACATTTGTGAGACTATACAGTGTTTTGTAAATAATTTTACAAAGAACGCCTGGGCCATTGCCTGCATTTTGATGTAAATAGAAGTAAATTACTATGTTCTTTGTTAAAAATTTGCATATGTTTTGAAGTTTACAATTTTTATTTGAAGTTTAAGTTTTAAAAACAGTTCATCACACATATTTGTGTTTTAATTTCACATTAATTTCCATATTGTATAAATGACTGGAAAAAACTTGAGCCCCTGCCCCTGTATAATCATGTGCACGTCCCTGTTCTAGCTCCAAGGTGAATCTTCACTGCTCATGTTCTCCTCAGAAATAGTCACCTCACTCCCCTCAGGTTACTGTACACATGCACCAACTATCTGCTTCAGGTTTGGATGGAGCTTCATGGTTGTCTTTTGGAGAAATGAACAGTCAAGTTGTGTTTGAAATCTGATTTTTTTCAGGGGCAAAAGGAAGCCTCTGCATTCTTGTCAAATATGTAAACAGCATGTTTTTGCAGGTGCTAAAAAACAGACTCTGAGTGTGTGTGTGTGTGTGTGTGTGTGTGTGTGTGTGTGTGTGTGTGTGTATATGTGTGTGTATCCTGCAGTACTCTGTACTCCTGCAGTGGCCAAAAAGACTTTTAAGAATGTGGATTTTTGGGTCATCTTTGGCGCCCCCTAGAACTGCAGTACTCTGTACTCCTGCAGTGGCCAAAATGACTTTTAAGAATGTGGATTTTTGGGTCATCTTTGGTGCCCCCTAGAACGTAAACCGTGGGGTGCAGCGTCATGATTTTTACAACTTTGAATGGGCATGGGGTGTAGATTGCCCTGAGCAAATTTGGTATCGGTGGGACGAAAGCCTTAGGAGGAGATAGCCACATTCCAATGTGTGCGAATCGGCAAAAAATGCGAAATAGCCCTTTAACCGTACATTATACAGATACGCGCTTTTTGACTTTTTCGTAGATCTAATTGAGATACACGTGATTGTCAATTTTTGTGTCAATATGACAAAGCGTTCAGGCATGACACTCAACAATGTGTATTTTCATGTAAGGGGACAAGAAAAAATTGACTTTTTTTCTCCTGCCATGGGGGGGCGCTCTTTTGGGGAGTAAAAATTCCTTCACAAATGTGTTGATGGCTGGACATTGCATCATCCTAGAAAACTTGGAGGGCAGTGAGGACAAAAATAAAAAGTTATAAGACTTTTAAGAATGTGGATTTTGGGTTATCTTTGGCGCCCCCTAGAACGTAAACCGTGGGGTGCAGCGTCATGATTTGTACAACTTTTAATGGCCATGGGGGGTAGATTGGCCTGCGCAAATGTGGTGCCGGTCGAATGAAAGCCTTCAGAGGAGTTAGCGAAATTCCAATGTGTGCAGATCTGCAAAAAATGCAAAATAACCCATTAACCGTACATTTGACAGATACGCCCGCACTGACTTTTTTGTAGATCTTATTGAGATACATGTGTGTGTCAATTTTTGTGTCAATATGACAAAGCGTACAGCCGTCATGTGAATTTTCACCTTAGGGGGCGCTATGGAGCCATTTTGCATTTTATTGTTTGGGCGACTTCAGAATATCGAATTTTTCACCAGGCCCGGTCGTCCTGCCAAATTTCCTGAGTTTTCGCCAGTGGGAAGTGGGCCATTTTCCAGTTTAAAGCGGAGGAAAAATAATAACGAAAGAAGGAAACATGCAGGAACAAGAGGGCTCTCGCAGCTGCTTAGCAGCTACGCTCGGGCCCTAAAGAAAGAAACAAAGAAAAACCTCTTGGGGAATAATAGGGCTCTCGCAGCTGCTTAGCAGCTACGCTCGGGCCCTAAAGAAAGAAAGAAAGAAACAAAGAAAAACCACTTGGGGAATAATAGGGCCTACGCCCGGCTGCTCCGCAGCTGGCTCGGGCCCTAATAATAATAATAAACTAGGGCCCCGGTGGGGCACTGTCGGGCCCGAGCCGCGTCGCGCCGCCCCTAGCGCGACCGCCTCCCCCTCCCGATCGCGTCACACTCAAGGTCCAAAGATGGTGTGCGCACTTGTCTGTGGTCATTTCCCATTATAATGAATGGGAGGCGCAGTTTCTACCAAAACACTCGCTGCAGACAAACTTCATGTCCTATTTGAAAAAAGTCTGGACCATGAGTGAGGGCACAAACACAGCTATGATATATCGAAATGGCAGGTTGCTCCTCCTTACGGTGTTGCCTGGAGAGCGATGCGATTGAGCCATTGAGCGATGGGCAGGGTTAACTTGACTTTTTCTCCTGCCTTGGGGGGGGATGTGGATTCCTTTAAGAATGTGGATTTTTGGGTCATCTTTGGCGCCCCCTAGAACGTAAACCGTGGGGTGCAGCGTCATGATTTTTACAACTTTGAATGGCCATGGGGTGTAGATTGGCCTGAGCAAATTTGGTGTCAGTGGGACGAAAGCCTTAGGAGGAGTTAGCCACATTCCAATGTGTGCGAATCGGCAAAAAATGCAAAATAGCCCTTTAACCGTATATTTGACAGATACGCGCGCATTGACTTTTTTGTAGATCTTATTGAGATACATATGTGTGTCAATTTTTGTGTCAATATGATAAAGCGTACAGGCGTGACAGTCAATAGTGTGAATTTCCACCTTAGGGGACAAGAAAAAATGGACTTTTTTCTCCTGCCATGGGGGGGCGCTCTTTTGGGGAGTAAAAATTCCTTCACAAATGTGTTGATGGCTGGACATTGCATCATCCTAGAAAACTTGGAGGCCAGTGAGGACAAAAATAAAAAGTTATAAGACTTTTAAATATGTGGATTTTAGTGTAATCTTTGGCGCCCCCTAGAACCTAAACCTTGGGGTGCAGCGTCATGATTTTGATAACTTTTAATGGCCACGGGGTGTAGATTGGCCTGAGCAAATGTGGTGCCGGTGGAACGAAAGCCTTCGGAGGAGTTAGCGAAATTCTAATGTGTGCGGATCGGAAAAAAATGCGAAATAACCCTTTAACCGTACATTTGACAGATACGGCTGCACTGACTTTTTTGTAGATCTTATTGAGATACATATGTGTGTCAATTTTTGTGTCAATATGACAAAGCGTACAGGCGTGACAGTCAATAGTGTGAATTTCCACCTTAGGGGGCGCTATGGAGCCATTTTGCATTTTATTGTTTGGGCGACTTCAGAATATCGAATTTTTCACCAGGCCCGGTCGTCCTGCCAAATTTCATGAGTTTTCGCCAGTGGGAAGTGGGCCATTTTCCAGTTCAAAGGGGAGGAAAAAGAAGAAAGAAAGAAAGAAAGAAACAAACAAAGAACTAGGACCCCGTTGGGGCACTGGCGGGCCCGAGCCTTGTCGCGTCCCCCCCCCCAACGTGCTGCCTCCCCGTCCCATTTGTGTCCTCTGGCCATCGCCCTCTCTGGTAACGCCCATCACTGCAAAGACCCTTTTCCTTCATCGGCGTTTGCTGTTCTTCCTGCCAGTGCGTGTTGCTTTCACTTACACTTGCCACAGCCAGCCTCGTGAGTGCCTAGCCTATTGGATATCACTGTCACCTACACAGGACAGTCATTACCTTTCTATTAATACTTTGTGTTTTAATTTCACATTAATTTCCATATTGTATAAACGACTGGAAAAAACTTGAGCCCCTGCCCCTGTATAATCATGTGCATGTCTCTGTTCTAGCTCCAAGGTGAATCTTCACTGCTCATGTTCTCCTCAGAAGCACTCACCTCACTCCCCTCAGGTTACTGTACACATGCACCAACTGCCTGCTTCAGGTTTGGATGGAGCTTCATGGTTGTCTTTTGGAGAAATGACCAGTCAAGTTGTGTTTGAAATTTGATTTTTTTCAGGGGCAAAAGGAGCCTCTGCATTCTTGTCAAATATGTAAATAGCATGTTTTTGCAGGTGCTAAAAACCAGACTCTGAGTGTGTGTGTGTGTGTGTGTGTGTGTGTGTGTGTGTGTGTGTGTGTGTGTGTGTGTGTGTGTGTGTGTGTGTGCGTGTGTGTGTGTCTGTGTGTGCGTTCAAGTCACATGACATATTTAACCGGATGTAGCTGCAAGACGGAGCCTCGTTGACTCTCCGTTTCAACTTATCTCAAAAGTGAGGACCTCAACCTATATACCAGTTTTTAAATTGTGTTGATAGGCCAAATAAAACCAGAGTTATGATAAATTATGTCCGCGATACTTTTTTTCTGCTTATTTTGATCACGTTCGGCGCTCGATCGCGCTGTATGAGACAGGAAAACATAGCATGCAGACATTAGCGACAGGTCTTACAGGCGGAAAAGGCTTGCCAAAAAAAAAAAAAAACACACCACAACATCTCTCCTATTGGTGGAAAACTTCACCACAACAACCAATCCAAAATTATATGGTGACTGATTGACAAGGGGCGGGCGCTTACGTTCTTCCTGCAACATGAGAAGCGAGGGAGGGACTCTCAGCAGGGATGCAGTCTGGGACACGTAGTTGCAAACCTAGCGACTTTGTTGTTAGATTCAATGACTTTTCAGACCCCCTAACGACTTTTTTTTTTAGAAAGAAAGGGACTTTTATCGACTTCTTCTGGAGTTTAGAGACTCTGACATGAAGCAGGCTTTCCTTACTGAGGAGTTAGCAACGCTGCTAAGGGTGCAGAGCCACACATGCGCTCAGAGCTCTGCATGGGAGACTGAAGCTGACAGAGCTGCAGCAGTTAGCAGGTTTCACCCTCAGAGACCACCAGGGGTTCATGTTGAGGCATTTTAATTTATTTTTTTTTTGTGCCATAGACACTGTCAGCACAATCTGCAGTTACACTAACAAAAATGCTGCAAAAAACAAAGAATTATGGAAAAATTACACATGGACTGACATAGAGGAGGATCTACACAAGTTTTTTACATCATGTTTTACATCATGCATCATTTACATCATGTTTTTTTGTAGTGGCATAAATAAAAAGTGACATTTGTGAGACTATACAGTGTTTTGTAAATAATTTTACAAAGAACGCCTGGGCCATTGCCTGCATTTTGATGTAAATAGAGGTAAATCACTATGTTCTTTGTTAAAAATTTGCATATGTTTTGAAGTTTACAATTTTTATTTGAAGTTTAAGTTTTAAAAACAGTTCATCACACATATTTGTGATTTTCACAGTAAAAATGTTACTTTTTTCCACTCGGATTTTATGTTTTGTGTGTGAATTTGGGTCCATTGTGTAAATTCAGTATGTCAACATGATAAAATAACTGTAAATTCGCACAGGTGAGGTTGTGCTGAAAAAAATGATACCAGGCAAGGCACGTGATTGTCAAATTTTGTGTCAATATGACAAAGCTTATAGGCGTGAACCTCAACAATATGTATTTTCACCTTAGGGGACAAGAAAAAATGGACTTTTTTCTCCTGCCATGGGGGGGCGCTCTTTTGGGGAGTAAAAATTCCTTCACAAATGTGTTGATGGCTGGACATTGCATCATCCTAGAAAACTTGGAGGCCAGTGAGGACAAAAATAAAAAGTTATAAGACTTTTAAATATGTGGATTTTAGGGTTATCTTTGGCGCCCCCTAGAACCTAAACCGTGGGGTGCAGCGTCATGATTTGAATAACTTTTAATGGCCATGGGGTGTAGATTGGCCTGAGCAAATGTGGTGCCGGTGGAACGAAAGCCTTAGGAGGAGTTAGCCACATTCCAATGTGTGCGGATCGGCAAAAAATGCGGAATAACCCTTTAACCGTACATTTGACAGATACGCACGCACTGACTTTTTCGTAGATCTTATTGAGTTACATGTGTGTGTCAATTTTTGTGTCATTTTGACAAAGCGTATAGGTGTGACACTCAACAATGTGTATTTTCACCTTAGGGGACAAGAAAAAATTGACTTTTTTCTCCTGCCATGGGGGGGGCGCTCTTTTGGGGAGTAAAAATTCCTTCACAAATGTGTTGATGGCTGGACATTGCATCATCCTAGAAAACTTGGAGGCCAGTGAGGACAAAAATAAAAAGTTATAAGACTTTTAAATATGTGGATTTTAGTGTTATCTTTGGCGCCCCCTAGAACCTAAACCTTGGGGTGCAGCGTCATGATTTTGATAACTTTTAATGGCCACGGGGTGTAGATTGGCCTGAGCAAATGTGGTGCCGGTGGAACGAAAGCCTTCGGAGGAGTTAGCGAAATTCCAATGTGTGCGGATCGGCAAAAAATGCGAAATAACCCTTTAACCGTAATTTTGACAGATACGGCCGCACTGACTTTTTTGTAGATCTTATTGAGATACATATGTGTGTCAATTTTTGTGTCAATATGACAAAACGTACAGGCGTGACAGTCAATAGTGTGAATTTCCACCTTAGGGGGCGCTATGGAGCCATTTTGCATTTTATTGTTTGGGCGACTTCAGAATATCGAATTTTTCACCAGGCCCGGTCGTCCTGCCAAATTTCATGAGTTTTCGCCAGTGGGAAGTGGGCCATTTTCCAGTTCAAAGGGGAGGAAAAAGAAGAAAGAAAGAAAGAACTAGGGCCCCGTTGGGGCACTGGCGGGCCCGTGCCGTGTCGCACCCCCCCCCCCCCCCCCAACGCGCTGCCTCCCCGTCCCATTCGTGTCCTCTGGCCATCGCCCTCTCTGGTAACGCCCATCACTGCAAAGACCCTTTTCCTTCATCGGCGTTTGCTGTTCTTCCTGCCAGTGCGTGTTGCTTTCACTTACACTTGCCACAGCCAGCCTCGTGAGTGCCTAGCCTATTGGATATCACTGTCACCTACACAGGACAGTCATACTTTGTTTTTTAATTTCACATTAATTTCCATATTGTATAAACGACTGGAAAAAACTTGAGCCCCTGCCCCTGTATTATCATGTGCACGTCCCTGTTCTAGCTCCAAGGTGAATCTTCACTGCTCATGTTCTCCTCAGAAGCAGTCACCTCACTCCCCTCAGGTTACTGTACACATGCACCAACTGCCTGCTTCAGGTTTGGATGGAGCTTCATGGTTGTCTTTTGGAGAAATGAGCAGTCAAGTTGTGTTTGAAATTTGATTTTTTTCAGGGGCAAAAGGAAGCCTCTGCATTCTTGTCAAATATGTAAATAGCATGTTTTTGCAGGTGCTAAAAAACAGACTCTGAGTGTGTGTGTGTGTGTGTGCGTGTGTGTGTCTGTGTGTGTGTGTGTGTGTATCCTGCAGTACTCTGAGAAGAATAATAAGCATATTTCTGAGGTGAATTTTGAAGATTCATCTGAGAGTTAGGTTTGATTCGATTCGATTGACGCTCCCCAGCGTTCAAGTCACATGACATATTTAACCGGATGTAGCTGCAAGACGGAGCCTCGTTAACTCTCCGTTTCAACTTATCTCAAAAGTGAGGACCTCAACCTATATACCAGTTTTTAAATTGTGTTGATTGGCCAAATAAAACCAGAGTTATGATAAATTATGTCCGCGATACTTTTTTTCTGCTTATTTTGATCACGTTCGGCGCTCGATCGCGCTGTATGAGACAGGAAAACATAGCATGCACACATTAGCGACAGGTCTTACAGGCGGAAAAGGCTTGCCAAAAGAAAAAAAAACACACCACAACATCTCTCCTATTGGTGGAAAACTTCACCACAACAACCAATCCAAAATTATATGGTGACTGATTGACAAGGGGCGGGCGCTTACGTTCTTCCTGCAATATGAGAAGGGAGGGAGGGACTCTCAGCAGGGATGCAGTCTGGGACACGTAGTTGCAAACCTAGCGACTTTGTTGTTAGATTCAATTACTTTTCAGACCCCCTAACGACTTTTTTTAGAAAGAAAGGGGCTTTTATCGACTTCTTCTGGAGTTTAGAGACTCTGACATGAAGCAGGCTTTCCTTACTGAGGAGTTAGCAACGCTGCTAAGGGTGCAGAGCCACACATGCGCTCCGAGCTCTGCATGGGAGACTGAAGCTGACAGAGCTGCAGCAGTTAGCAGGTTTCACCCTCAGAGACCACCAGGGGTTCATGTTGAGGCATTTTCAGTTTTTGTTTTTTTTGCCATAGACTGTCAGCACAATCTGCAGTTACACTAACAAAAATGCTGCAAAAAACAAAGAATTATGGAAAAATTACACATGGACTGACATGGAGGAGGATCTACACAAGTTTTTTACATCATGTTTTACATCATGCATCATTTACATCATTCATCATTTTTTGTAGTGGCATAAATAAAAAGTGACATTTGTGAGACTATACAGTGTTTTGTAAATAATTTTACAAAGAACGCCTGGGCCATTGCCGCCATTTTGATGTAAATAGAGGTAAATTACTATGTTCTTTGTTAAAAATTTGCATATGTTTTGAAGTTTACAATTTTTATTTGAAGTTTAAGTTTTAAAAACAGTTCATCACACATATTTGTGGTTTAATTTCACATTAATTTCCATATTGTATAAATGACTGGAAAAAACTTGAGCCCCTGCCCCTGTATTATCATGTGCACGTCCCTGTTCTAGCTCCAAGGTGAATCTTCACTGCTCATTTTCTCCTCAGAAATAGTCACCTCACTCCCCTCAGGTTACTGTACACATGCACCAACTATCTGCTTCAGGTTTGGATGGAGCTTCATGGTTGTCTTTTGGAGAAATGAACAGTCAAGTTGTGTTTGAAATATGATTTTTTTCAGCGGCAAAAGGAAGCCTCTGCATTCTTGTCAAATATGTAAACAGCATGTTTTTGCAGGTGCTAAAAAACAGACTCTGAGTGTGTGTGTGTGTGTGTGTGTGTGTGTGTGTGTGTGTGTGTGTGTGTGTGTGTGTGTGTGTGTGTGTGTGTATCCTGCAGTACTCTGTACTCCTGCAGTGGCCAAAAAGACTTTTAAGAATGTGGATTTTTGGGTCATCTTTGGCGCCCCCTAGAACTGCAGTACTCTGTACTCCTGCAGTGGCCAAAATGACTTTTAAGAATGTGGATTTTTGGGTCATCTTTGGCGCCCCCTAGAACGTAAACCGTGGGGTGCAGCGTCATGATTTTTACAACTTTGAATGGGCATGGGGTGTAGATTGCCCTGAGCAAATTTGGTATCGGTGGGACGAAAGCCTTAGGAGGAGATCGCCCACATTCCAATGTGTGCGAATTGGCAAAAAATGCAAAATAGCCCTTTAACCGTACATTATAAAGATACGCGCTCTTTGACTTTTTCGTAGATCGAATTGAGATACACATGATTGTCAATTTTTGTGTCAGTATGACAAAGCGTTCAGGCGTGACACTCAACAATGTGTATTTTCATGTAAGGGGACAAGAAAAAATGGACTTTTTTCTCCTACCATGGGGGGGCGCTCTTTTGGGGAGTAAAAATTCCTTCACAAATGTGTTGATGGCTGGACATTGCATCATCCTAGAAAACTTGGAGGCCAGTGAGGACAAAAATAAAAAGTTATAAAACATTTAAGAATGTGGATTTTTGGGTTATTTTTGACGCCCCCTAGAACCTAAACCATGGGGTGCAGCATCATGATTTGAATAACTTTTAATGGCCATGGGGTGTAGATTGGCCTGAGCAAATGTGGTGCCGGTGGAATGAAAGCCTTCGGAGGAGTTAGCGAAATTCCAATGTGTGCGTATCGGCAAAAAATGCGGAATAACCCTTTAACTGTACATTTGACAGATACGCGCGCATGGACTTTTTTGTCGATCTTATTGAGTTACATGTGTGTGTCAATTTTTGTGTCATTTTGACAAAGCGTATAGGCGTGACACTCAACAATGTGTATTTTCACCTTAGGGGACAAGAAAAAATTGGACTTTTTTCTCCTGCCATGGGGGGGCGCTCTTTTGGGGAGTAAAAATTCCTTCACAAATGTGTTGATGGCTGGACATTGCATCATCCTAGAAAACTTGGAGGCCAGTGAGGACAAAAATAAAAAGTTATAAGACTTTTAAATATGTGGATTTTAGTGTTATCTTTGGCGCCCCCTAGAACCTAAACCTTGGGGTGCAGCGTCATGATTTTGATAACTTTTAATGGCCACGGGGTGTAGATTGGCCTGAGCAAATGTGGTGCCGGTGGAACGAAAGCCTTCGGAGGAGTTAGCCACATTCCAATGTGTGCGGATCGGCAAAAAATGCGAAACTAGGACCCCGGTGGGGCACTGGCGGGCCCGAGCCGCGTTGCGCCGCCCCCAGTGCGACCGCCTCCCCCTCCCGATTGCGTCACACTCAAGGTCCAAAGATGGTGTGCGCACTTGTCTGTGGTCATTTCCCATTATAATGAATGGGAGGCGCAGTTTCTACCAAAACGCTCGCTGCAGACAAACTACATGTCCTATTTGAAAAAAGTCTGGACCATGAGTGAGGGCACAAACACAGATAGGATATATCCAAACGGCAAGTTGCTCCTCGTTACGGTGTTGCCGGGAGAGCGATGCGATTGATCCATTGAGTGATGGGCAGGAAAAACTTGACTGTTTCTCCTGCCATGGGGGATGGGGGATGGGGGATGGGGGATGGGGGGGGGGGGGATGTGGATTCTTTTAAGAATGTGGATATTTGGGTCATCTTTGGCGCCCCCTAGAACGTAAACCGTGGGGTGCAGCGTCATGATTTTTAAAACTTTGAATGGCCATGGGGTGTAGATTGGCCTGAGCAAATTTGGTGTCAGTGGGACGAAAGCCTTAGGAGGAGTTAGCCACATTCCAATGTGTGCTAATCGGCAAAAAATGCAAAATAGCCCTTTAACCGTACATTTTACAGATACGCGCGCATTGACTTTTTCGTAGATCTTATTGAGATACATGTGTGTGTCAAATTTTGTGTCAATATGACAAAGCATACAGGTATGACAGTCAACAATGTGTATTTTCACCTTATGGGACAAGAAAAAATGGACTTTTTTCTCCTGCCATGGGGGGGCGCTCTTTTGGGGAGTAAAAATTCCTTCACAAATGTGTTGATGGCTGGACATTGCATCATCCTAGAAAACTTGGAGGCCAGAGAGGACAAAAATAAAAAGTTATAAGACTTTTAAATATGTGGATTTTAGGGTTATCTTTGGCGCCCCCTAGAACCTAAACCGTGGGGTGCAGCGTCATGATTTGAATAACTTTTAATGGCCATGGGGTGTAGATTGGCCTGAGCAAATGTGGTGCCGGTGGAACGAAAGCCTTCGGAGGAGTTAGCGAAATTCCAATGTGTGCGGATCGGCAAAAAATGCGCAATAACCCTTTAACCGTACATTTGACAGATACGCCCGCACTGACTTTTTTGTAGATCTTATTGAGATACATGTGTGTGTCAATTTTTGTGTAATTTTGACAAAGCGTACAGGCGTGACAGTCAATAGTGTGAATTTTCACCTTATGGGACAAGAAAAAATGGACTTTTTTCTCCTGCCATGGGGGGGCGCTCTTTTGGGGAGTAAAAATTCCTTCACAAATGTGTTGATGGCTGGACATTGCATCATCCTAGAAAACTTGGAGGCCAGTGAGGGCAAAAATAAAAAGTTATAAGACTTTGAAATATGTGGATTTTAGGGTTATCTTTGGCGCCCCCTAGAACCTAAACCGTGGGGTGCAGCGTCATGATTTGAATAACTTTTAATGGCCATGGGGTGTAGATTGGCCTGAGCAAATGTGGTGCCGGTGGAACGAAAGCCTTCGGAGGAGTTAGCGAAATTCCAATGTGTGCGGATCGGCAAAAAATGCGCAATAACCCTTTAACCGTACATTTGACAGATACGCCCGCACTGACTTTTTTGTAGATCTTATTGAGATACATGTGTGTGTCAATTTTTGTGTAATTTTGACAAAGCGTACAGGCGTGACAGTCAATAGTGTGAATTTTCACCTTATGGGACAAGAAAAAATGGACTTTTTTCTCCTGCCATGGGGGGGCGCTCTTTTGGGGAGTAAAAATTCCTTCACAAATGTGTTGATGGCTGGACATTGCATCATCCTAGAAAACTTGGAGGCCAGTGAGGGCAAAAATAAAAAGTTATAAGACTTTGAAATATGTGGATTTTAGGGTTATCTTTGGCGCCCCCTAGAACCTAAACCGTGGGGTGCAGCGTCATGATTTGAATAACTTTTAATGGCCATGGGGTGTAGATTGGCCTGAGCAAATGTGGTGCCGGTGGAACGAAAGCCTTCGGAGGAGTTAGCGAAATTCCAATGTGTGCGGATCGGCAAAAAATGCGCAATAACCCTTTAACCGTACATTTGACAGATACGCCCGCACTGACTTTTTTGTAGATCTTATTGAGATACATGTGTGTGTCAATTTTTGTGTCATTTTGACAAAGCGTACAGGCGTCAGGTGAATTTTTCACCTTAGGGGGCGCTATGGAGCCATTTTGCATTGTATTGTTTGGGCGACTTCAGAATATCAAATTTTTCACCAGGCCCGGTCGTCCTGCCAAATTTCATGAGTTTTCGCCAGTGGGAAGTGGGCCATTTTCCAGTTCAAAGGGGAGGAAAAAGAAAAAAGAAACAAAGAAAAACCACTTGGGGAATAATAGGGCTCTCGCAGCTGCTTAGCAGCTACGCTCGGGCCCTAATAACCCTTTAACCGTAATTTTGACAGATACGGCCGCACTGACTTTTTTGTAGATCTTATTGAGATACATATGTGTGTCAATTTTTGTGTCAATATGACAAAGCGTACAGGCGTGACAGTCAATAGTGTGAATTTCCACCTTAGGGGGCGCTATGGAGCCATTTTGCATTTTATTGTTTGGGCGACTTCAGAATATCGAATTTTTCACCAGGCCCGGTCGTCCTGCCAAATTTCATGAGTTTTCGCCAGTGGGAAGTGGGCCATTTTCCAGTTCAAAGGGGAGGAAAAAGAAGAAAGAAAGAAAGAACTAGGGCCCCGTTGGGGCACTGGCGGGCCCGAGCCGCGTTGCGCCGCCCCCAGTGCGACCGCCTCCCCCTCCCGATCGCGTCACACTCAAGGTCCAAAGATGGTGTGCGCACTTGTCTGTGGTCATTTCCCATTATAATGAATGGGAGGCGCAGTTTCTACCAAAACACTCGCTGCAGACAAACTACATGTCCTATTTGAAAAAAGTCTGGACCATGAGTGAGGGCACAAACACAGCTAGGATATATCCAAACGGCAAGTTGCGCCTCGTTACGGTGTTGCCGGGAGAGCGATGCGATTGAGCCATTGAGTGATGGGCAGGAAAAACTTGACGCTTTCTCCTGCCATGGGGGATGGGGGATGGGAGGGGGGGAAAGGGATGTGGATTCTTTTAAGAATGTGGATATTTGGGTCATCTTTGGCGCCCCTTAGAACGTAAACCGTGGGGTGCAGCGTCATGATTTTTAAAACTTTGAATGGCCATGGGGTGTAGATTGGCCTGAGCAAATTTGGTGTCAGTGGGACGAAAGCCTTAGGAGGAGTTAGCCACATTCCAATGTGTGCTAATCAGCAAAAAATGCAAAATAGCCCTTTAACCGTACATTTTACAGATACGCGCGCATTGACTTTTTCGTAGATCTTATTGAGATACATGTGTGTGTCAAATTTTGTGTCAATATGACAAAGCATACAGGTATGACAGTCAACAATGTGTATTTTCACCTTATGGGACAAGAAAAAATGGACTTTTTTCTCCTGCCATGGGGGGGCGCTCTTTTAGGGAGTAAAAATTCCTTCACAAATGTGTTGATGGCTGGACATTGCATCATCCTAGAAAACTTGGAGGCCAGAGAGGACAAAAATAAAAAGTTATAAGACTTTTAAATATGTGGATTTTAGGGTTATCTTTGGCGCCCCCTAGAACCTAAACCGTGGGGTGCAGCGTCATGATTTGAATAACTTTTAATGGCCATGGGGTGTAGATTGGCCTGAGCAAATGTGGTGCCGGTGGAACGAAAGCCTTCGGAGGAGTTAGCGAAATTCCAATGTGTGCGGATCGGCAAAAAATGCACAATAACCCTTTAACCGTACATTTGACAGATACGCCCGCACTGACTTTTTTGTAGATCTTATTGAGATACATGTGTGTGTCAATTTTTGTGTAATTTTGACAAAGAGTACAGGCGTGACAGTCAATAGTGTGAATTTTCACCTTATGGAACAAGAAAAAATGGACTTTTTTCTCCTGCCATGGGGGGGCGCTCTTTTGGGGAGTAAAAATTCCTTCACAAATGTGTTGATGGCTGGACATTGCATCATCCTAGAAAACTTGGAGGCCAGTGAGGGCAAAAATAAAAAGTTATAAGACTTTGAAATATGTGGATTTTAGGGTTATCTTTGGCGCCCCCTAGAACATAAACCGTGGGGTGCAGCGTCATGATTTGAATAACTTTTAATGGCCATGGGGTGTAGATTGGCCTGAGCAAATGTGGTGCCGGTGGAACGAAAGCCTTCGGAGGAGTTAGCGAAATTCCAATGTGTGCGGATCGGCAAAAAATGCGAAATAACCCTTTAACCGTACATTTGACAGATACGCCCGCACTGACTTTTTTGTAGATCTTATTGAGATACATGTGTGTGTCAATTTTTGTGTCATTTTGACAAAGCGTACAGGCGTCAGGTGAATTTTTCACCTTAGGGGGCGCTATGGAGCCATTTTGCATTGTATTGTTTGGGCGACTTCAGAATATCAAATTTTTCACCAGGCCCGGTCGTCCTGCCAAATTTCATGAGTTTTCGCCAGTGGGAAGTGGGCCATTTTCCAGTTCAAAGGGGAGGAAAAATAATAACTAGGACCCCGTTGGGGCACTGGCGGGCCCGAGCTGTGTCGCGTCCCCCCCCCAACGCGCTGCCTCCCCGTCCCATTTGTGTCCTCTGGCCATCGCCCTCTCTGGTAACGCCCATCACTGCAAAGACCCTTTTCCTTCATCGGCGTTTGCTGTTCTTCCTGCCAGTGCGTGTTGCTTTCACTTACACTTGCCACAGCCAGCCTCGTGAGTGCCTAGCCTATTGGATATCACTGTCACCTACACAGGACAGTCATTACCTTTCTATTAATACTTTGTTTTTTAATTTCACATTAATTTCCATATTGTATAAACAACTGGAAAAAACTTGAGCCCCTGCCCCTGTATAATCATGTGCAGGTCTCTGTTCTAGCTCTAAGGTGAATCTTCACTGCTCATGTTCTCCTCAGAAGCACTCACCTCACTCCCCTCAGGTTACTGTACACATGCACCAACTGCCTGCTTCAGGTTTGGATGGAGCTTCATGGTTGTCTTTTGGAGAAATGACCAGTCAAGTTGTGTTTGAAATTTGATTTTTTTCAGGGGCAAAAGGAGCCTCTGCATTGTTGTCAAATATGTAAATAGCATGTTTTTGCAGGTGCTAAAAACCAGACTCTGAGTGTGTGTGTGTGTGTGTGCGTGTGTGTGTGTGTCTGTGTGTGTGTGTCTGTGTGTGCGTTCAAGTCACATGACATATTTAACCGGATGTAGCTGCAAGACGGAGCCTCGTTGACTCTCCGTTTCAACTTATCTCAAAAGTGAGGACCTCAACCTATATACCAGTTTTTAAATTGTGTTGATAGGCCAAATAAAACCAGAGTTATGATAAATTATGTCCGCGATACTTTTTTTCTGCTTATTTTGATCACGTTCGGCGCTCGATCGCGCTGTATGAGACAGGAAAACATAGCATGCAGACATTAGCGACAGGTCTTACAGGCGGAAAAGGTTTGCCAAAAGAAAAAAAAAACACACCACAACATCTCTCCTATTGGTGGAAAACTTCACCACAACAACCAATCCAAAATTATATGGTGACTGATTGACAAGGGGCGGGCGCTTACGTTCTTCCTGCAACAGGAGAAGGGAGGGAGGGACTCTCAGCAGGGATGCAGTCTGGGACACGTAGTTGCAAACCTAGCGACTTTGTTGTTAGATTCAATGACTTTTCAGACCCCCTAACGACTTTTTTTTAGAAAGAAAGGGACTTTTATCGACTTCTTCTGGAGTTTAGAGACTCTGACATGAAGCAGGCTTTCCTTACTGAGGAGTTAGCAACGCTGCTAAGGGTGCAGAGCCACACATGCGCTCAGAGCTCTGCATGGGAGACTGAAGCTGACAGAGCTGCAGCAGTTAGCAGGTTTCACCCTCAGAGACCACCAGGGGTTCATGTTGAGGCATTTTAATTTTTTTTTTTTTTGTGCCATAGACACTGTCAGCACAATCTGCAGTTACACTAACAAAAATGCTGCAAAAAACAAAGAATTATGGAAAAATTACACATGGACTGACATAGAGGAGGATCTACACAAGTTTTTTACATCATGTTTTACATCATGCATCATTTACATCATGTTTTTTTGTAGTGGCATAAATAAAAAGTGACATTTGTGAGACTATACAGTGTTTTGTAAATAATTTTACAAAGAACGCCTGGGCCATTGCCTGCATTTTGATGTAAATAGAGGTAAATCACTATGTTCTTTGTTAAAAATTTGCATATGTTTTGAAGTTTACAATTTTTATTTGAAGTTTAAGTTTTAAAAACAGTTCATCACACATATTTGTGGTTTTCACAGTAAAAATGTTACTTTTTTCCACTCGGATTTTATGTTTTGTGTGTGAATTTGGGTCCATTGTGTAAATTCAGTATGTCAACATGATAAAATAACTGTAAATTCGCACAGGTGAGGTTGTGCTGAAAAAAATGATACCAGGCAAGGCACGTGATTGTCAAATTTTGTGTCAATATGACAAAGCGTATAGGCGTGAATCTCAACAATATGTATTTTCACCTTAGGGGACAAGAAAAAATGGACTTTTTTCTCCTGCCATGGGGGGGCGCTCTTTTGGGGAGTAAAAATTCCTTCACAAATGTGTTGATGGCTGGACATTGCATCATCCTAGAAAACTTGGAGGCCAGTGAGGACAAAAATAAAAAGTTATAAGACTTTTAAATATGTGGATTTTTGGGTTATTTTTGGCGCCCCCTAGAACCTAAACCATGGGGTGCAGCATCATGATTTGAATAACTTTTAATGGGCATGGGGTGTAGATTGGCCTGAGCAAATGTGGTGCCGGTGGACAGAAAGCCTTCGGAGGAGTTAGCCACATTCCAATGTGTGCGGATCGGCAAAAAATGCGGAATAACCCTTTAACCGTACATTTGACAGATACGCGCGCATTGACTTTTTCGTAGATCTTATTGAGTTACATGTGTGTGTCAATTTTTGTGTCATTTTGACAAAGCGTATAGGCGTGACACTCAACAATGTGTATTTTCACCTTAGGGGACAAGAAAAAATGGACTTTTTTCTCCTGCCATGGGGGGGCGCTCTTTTGGGGAGTAAAAATTCCTTCACAAATGTGTTGATGGCTGGACATTGCATCATCCTAGAAAACTTGGAGGCCAGTGAGGACAAAAATAAAAAGTTATAAGACTTTTAAATATGTGGATTTTAGTGTTATCTTTGGCGCCCCCTAGAACCTAAACCTTGGGGTGCAGCGTCATGATTTTGATAACTTTTAATGGCCACGGGGTGTAGATTGGCCTGAGCAAATGTGGTGCCGGTGGAACGAAAGCCTTCAGAGGAGTTAGCGAAATTCCAATGTGTGCGGATCGGCAAAAAATGCGAAATAACCCTTTAACCGTAATTTTGACAGATACGGCCGCACTGACTTTTTTGTAGATCTTATTGAGATACATATGTGTGTCAATTTTTGTGTCAATATGACAAAGCGTACCGGCGTGACAGTCAATAGTGTGAATTTCCACCTTAGGGGGCGCTATGGAGCCATTTTGCATTTTCTTGTTTGGGCGACTTCAGAATATCGAATTTTTCACCAGGCCCGGTCGTCCTGCCAAATTTCATGAGTTTTCGCCAGTGGGAAGTGGGCCATTTTCCAGTTCAAAGGGGAGGAAAAAGAAAAAAGAAAGAAAGAAACAAAGAAAAACCACTTGGGGAATAATAGGGCCTACGCCCGGCTGCTCTGCAGCTGGCTCGGGCCCTAACTAGGACCCCGTTGGGGCACTGGCGGGCCCGAGCTGTGTCGCGTCCCCCCCCCAACGCGCTGCCTCCCCGTCCCATTTGTGTCCTCTGGCCATCGCCCTCTCTGGTAACGCCCATCACTGCAAAGACCCTTTTCCTTCATCGGCGTTTGCTGTTCTTCCTGCCAGTGCGTGTTGCTTTCACTTACACTTGCCACAGCCAGCCTCGTGAGTGCCTAGCCTATTGGATATCACTGTCACCTACACAGGACAGTCATTACCTTTCTATTAATACTTTGTTTTTTAATTTCACATTAATTTCCATATTGTATAAACAACTGGAAAAAACTTGAGCCCCTGCCCCTGTATAATCATGTGCACGTCTCTGTTCTAGCTCTAAGGTGAATCTTCACTGCTCATGTTCTCCTCAGAAGCAGTCACCTCACTCCCCTCAGGTTACTGTACACATGCACCAACTGCCTGCTTCAGGTTTGGATGGAGCTTCATGGTTGTCTTTTGGAGAAATGACCAGTCAAGTTGTGTTTGAAATTTGATTTTTTTCAGGGGCAATAGGAGCCTCTGCATTCTTGTCAAATATGTAAATAGCATGTTTTTGCAGGTGCTAAAAACCAGACTCTGAGTGTGTGTGTGTGCGTGTGTGTGTGTGTCTGTGTGTGTGTGTGTGTGTGTGTGTGCGTTCAAGTCACATGACATATTTAACCGGATGTAGCTGCAAGACGGAGCCTCGTTGACTCTCCGTTTCAACTTATCTCAAAAGTGAGGACCTCAACCTATATACCAGTTTTTAAATTGTGTTGATAGGCCAAATAAAACCAGAGTTATGATAAATTATGTCCGCGATACTTGTTTTCTGCTTATTTTGATCACGTTCGGCGCTCGATCGCGCTGTATGAGACAGGAAAACATAGCATGCAGACATTAGCGACAGGTCTTACAGGCGGAAAAGGCTTGCCAAAGGAAAAAAAAAACACACCACAACATCTCTCCTATTGGTGGAAAACTTCACCACAGCAACCAATCCAAAATTATATGGTGACTGATTGACAAGGGGCGGGCGCTTACGTTCTTCCTGCAACATGAGAAGGGAGGGAGGGACTCTCAGCAGGGATGCAGTCTGGGACACGTAGTTGCAAACCTAGCGACTTTGTTGTTAGATTCAATGACTTTTCAGACCCCCTAACGACTTTTTTTTAGAAAGAAAGGGACTTTTATCGACTTCTTCTGGAGTTTAGAGACTCTGACATGAAGCAGGCTTTCCTTACTGAGGAGTTAGCAACGCTGCTAAGGGTGCAGAGCCACACATGCGCTCAGAGCTCTGCATGGGAGACTGAAGCTGACAGAGCTGCAGCAGTTAGCAGGTTTCACCCTCAGAGACCACCAGGGGTTCATGTTGAGGCATTTTCAGTTTTTTTTTTTTTTTTTGCCATAGACACTGTCAGCACAATCTGCAGTTACACTAACAAAAATGCTGCAAAAAACAAAGAATTATGGAAAAATTACACATGGACTAACATAGAGGAGGATATACACAAGTTTTTTACATCATGTTTTACATCATGCATCATTTACATCATGTTTTTTTGTAGTGGCATAAATAAAAAGTGACATTTGTGAGACTATACAGTGTTTTGTAAATAATTTTACAAAGAACACCTGGGCCATTGCCTGCATTTTGATGTAAATAGAGGTAAATTACTATGTTCTTTGTTAAAAATTTGCATATGTTTTGAAGTTTACAATTTTTATTTGAAGTTTAAGTTTTAAAAACAGTTCATCACACATATTTGTGGTTTCCACAGTAAAAACGTTACTTTTTTCCACTCGGATTTTATGTTTTGTGTGTGAATTTGGGTCCAATGTGTAAATATAGTATGTCAAAATGATAAAATAACTGTAAATTGACACAGGTGAGGTTGTGCTGAAAAAAATGATACCAGGCAAGGCAAGGTAAAAATTTTGTAAGAGGAAATATAAAGGTAAAATCTAAAGTAGTCAAAAACGGCCAATAGTGACTCACAGACTCCACAGACAAGTCCCTTTGGCGCCACTCAGTGGGCAAAACTACTTTGTCTACTGTAATGTATATTTGGGTCATCTTTGGCGCCCCCTAAAACGTAAACCGTGGGGTGCAGCGTCATGATTTTTACAACTTTGAATGGCCATGGAGTGTAGATTGGCCTGAGCAAATTTGGTGTCAGTGGGACGAAAGCCTTAGGAGGAGTTAGCGAAATTCCAATGTGTGCGAATCGGCAAAAAATGCAAAATAGCCCTTTTACCGTACATTATACAGATACGCGCTCTTTGACTTTTTCGTAGATCTAATTGAGATACACATGATTGTCAATTTTTGTGTCATTTTGCCAAAGCGTACAGGCGTGACAGTCAACAATGTGTATTTTCACCTTAGGGGACAAGAAAAAATGGACTTTTTTCTCCTGCCATGGGGGGGCGCTCTTTTAGGGAGTAAAAATTCCTTCACAAATGTGTTGATGGCTGGACATTGCATCATCCTAGAAAACTTGGAGGCCAGTGAGGACAAAAATAAAAAGTTATAAGACTTTTAAAAATGTGGATTTTTTGGGTTATCTTTGGCGCCCCCTAGAACGTAAACCGTGGGGTGCAGCGTCATGATTTGAATAACTTTTAATGGCCATGGGGTGTAGATTGGCCTGAGCAAATGTGGTGCCGGTGGAACGAAAGCCTTCGGAGGAGTTAGCGAAATTCCAATGTGTGCGAATCGGCAAAAAATGCGGAATAACCCTTTAACCGTACATTTGACAGATACGCGCGCATGGACTTTTTTGTAGATCTTATTGAGATACATGTGTGTGTCAATTTTTGTGTCATTTTGACAAAGCGTACAGGCGTGACACTCAACAATGTGTATTTTCACCTTAGGGGACAAGAAAAAATGGACTTTTTTCTCCTGCCATGGGGGGGCGCTCTTTTGGGGAGTAAAAATTCCTTCACAAATGTGTTGATGGCTGGACATTGCATCATCCTAGAAAACTTGGAGGCCAGTGAGGGCAAAAATAAAAAGTTATAAGACTTTTAAATATGTGGATTTTAGGGTTATCTTTGGCGCCCCCTAGAACCTAAACCGTGGGGTGCAGCGTCATGATTTGAATAACTTTTAATGGCCATGGGGTGTAGATTGGCCTGAGCAAATGTGGTGCCGGTGGAACGAAAGCCTTCGGAGGAGTTAGCGAAATTCCAATGTGTGCGGATCGGCAAAAAATGCGAAATAACCCTTTAACCGTACATTTGACAGATACGCGCGCATGGACTTTTTTGTAGATCTTATTGAGATACATGTGTGTGTCAATTTTTGTGTCATTTTGACAAAGCGTACAGGCGTGACACTCAACAATGTGTATTTTCACCTTAGGGGACAAGAAAAAATGGACTTTTTTCTCCTGCCATGGGGGGGCGCTCTTTTGGGGAGTAAAAATTCCTTCACAAATGTGTTGATGGCTGGACATTGCATCATCCTAGAAAACTTGGAGGCCAGTGAGGGCAAAAATAAAAAGTTATAAGACTTTTAAATATGTGGATTTTAGGGTTATCTTTGGCGCCCCCTAGAACCTAAACCGTGGGGTGCAGCGTCATGATTTGAATAACTTTTAATGGCCATGGGGTGTAGATTGGCCTGAGCAAATGTGGTGCCGGTGGAACGAAAGCCTTCGGAGGAGTTAGCGAAATTCCAATGTGTGCGGATCGGCAAAAAATGCGAAATAACCCTTTAACCGTACATTTGACAGATACGCCCGCACTGACTTTTTTGTAGATCTTATTGAGATACATGTGTGTGTCAAATTTTGTGTCATTTTGACAAAGCGTACAGGCGTGACACTCAATAGTGTGAATTTTCACCTTAGGGGGCGCTATGGAGCCATTTTGCATTTTCTTGTTTGGGCGACTTCGGAATATCAAATTTTTCACCAGGCCCGGTCGTCCTGCCAAATTTCATGAGTTTTCGCCAGTGGGAAGTGGGCCATTTTCCAGTTCAAAGGGGAGGAAAAAGAAAAAAGAAACAAAGAAAAACCCCTTGGGGAATAATAGGGCTCTCGCAGCTGCTTAGCAGCTACGCTCGGGCCCTAATAACAAAAGAAGGAAACATGCAGGAACAAGAGGGCTCTCGCAGCTGCTTAGCAGCTACGCTCGGGCCCTAACTAGGGCCCCGTTGGGGCACTGGTGGGCCCGAGCCGTGTCGCGCCGCCCCCAACACGACCGCCTCTCCCTACCGATCGCGTCACACTCAAGGTCCAAAGATGGTGTGCGCACTTGTCTGTGGTCATTTACAATTATAATGAATGGGAGGCGCAGTTTCTACCAAAACGCTCGCCGCAGACAAACTACATGTCCTATTTGAAAAGGACTGGACCATGAGTGAGGGCACAAACACAGCTAGGATATATCCAAATGGCAAGTTGCTCCTCCTTTCGGTTTTGCCGAGAGAGCGATGTGTTTGAGTCATTGAGCGATGGGCAGGAAAAACTTGACTTTTTCTCCTGCCATGGGGGGCGCTCTTTTGGGGAGAAAAAATTCCTTCACAAATGTGTTGATGGCTGGACATTGCATCATCCTAGAAAACTTGGAGGCCAGTGAGGACAAAAATAAAAAGTTATAAGACTTTTAAAAATGTGGATATTTGGGTCCTCTTTGGCGCCCCCTAGAACGTAAACTGTGGGGTGCAGCGTCATGATTTGTACAACTTTGAATGGCCATGGGGTGTAGATTGACCTGAGCAAATTTGAAGCCGATGGGACAAAAGATTTAGGAGGAGTTAGCGAAATTCCAATGTGTGCGGATCGGCAAAAAATGCGAAATAACCCTTTAACCGTACATTTGACAGATACGCCCGCACTGACTTTTTTGTAGATCTTATTGAGATACATGTGTGTGTCAAATTTTGTGTCATTTTGACAAAGCGTAAAGGCGTGACAGTCAACAATGTGTATTTTCGCCTTAGGAGACAAGAAAAAATGGACTTTTTTCTCCTGCCATGGGGGGCGCTCTTTTGGCGAGTAAAAATTCCTTCACAAATGTGTTGATGGCTGGACATTGCATCATCCTAGAGAACTTGGAGGCCAGTGAGGACAAAAATAAAAAGTTATAAGACTTTTAAGACTGTGGATTTTTGGGTTATCTTTGGCGCCCCCTAGAACGTAAACCGTGGGGTGCAGCGTCATGATTTGTACAACTTTTAATGGCCATGGGGTGTAGATTGGCCTCAGCAAATGTGGTGCCTTTGGAACGAAAGCCTTCGGAGGAGTTAGCGAAATTCCAATGTGTGCGGATCGGCAAAAAATGCGAAATAGCCCTTTAACCGTACATTTGACAGATACGCCCGCACTGACTTTTTTGTAGATCTTATTGAGATACATGTGTGTGTCAATTTTTGTGTCAATATGACAAAGCGTAAAGGCGTGACAGTCAATAGTGTGAATTTTCGCCTTAGGAGACAAGAAAAAATGGACTTTTTTCTCCTGCCATGGGGGGGCGCTCTTTTGGGGAGTAAAAATTCCTTCACAAATGTGTTGATGGCTGGACATTGCATCATCCTAGAAAACTTGGAGGCCAGTGAGGACAAAAATAAAAAGTTATACGACTTTTAAGAATGTGGATTTCTGGGTTATCTTTGGCGCCCCCTAGAACGTAAACCGTGGGATGCAGCGTCATGATTTGTACAACTTTTAATGGCCATGGGGTGTAGATTGGCCTGAGCAAATTTGGTGCCGGTGGAACGAAAGCCTTCGGAGGAGTTAGCGAAATTCCAATGTGTGCGGATCGGCAAAAAATGCGAAATAGCCCTTTAACCGTACATTTGACAGATACGCCCGCACTGACTTTTTTGTAGATCTTATTGAGATACACGTGTGTGTCAAATTTTGTGTCATTTTGACAAAGCGTACAGGCGTGACACTCAATCATGTGAATTTTTCACCTTAGGGGGCGCTATGGAGCCATTTTGCATTTGATTTTTTGGGCGACTTCAGAATATCGAATTTTTCACCAGGCCCGGTCGTCCTGCCAAATTTCATGACTTTTCACCAGTGGGAAGTGGGCCATTTTCCAGTTCAAAGGGGCAGAAAAATAATAAGAAGAAGAAGAAGAAACTAGGACCCCGTTGGGGCACTGGCGGGCCCGAGCCGTGTCGCGTCCCCCCCCCCCCAACGTGCTGCCTCCCCGTCCCATTTGTGTCCTCTGGCCATCGCCCTCTCTGGTAACGCCCATCACTGCAAAGACCCTTTTCCTTCATCGGCGTTTGCTGTTCTTCCAGCCAGTGCGTGTTGCTTTCACTTACACTTGCCACAGCCAGCCTCGTGAGTGCCTAGCCTATTGGATATCACTGTCACCTACACAGGACAGTCATTACCTTTCTATTAATACTTTGTGTTTTAATTTCACATTAATTTCCATATTGTATAAACGACTGGAAAAAACTTGAGCCCCTGCCCCTGTATAATCATGTGCATGTCTCTGTTCTAGCTCCAAGGTGAATCTTCACTGCTCATGTTCTCCTCAGAAGCACTCACCTCACTCCCCTCAGGTTACTGTACACATGCACCAACTGCCTGCTTCAGGTTTGGATGGAGCTTCATGGTTGTCTTTTGGAGAAATGACCAGTCAAATTGTGTTTGAAATTTGATTTTTTTCAGGGGCAAAAGGAGCCTCTGCATTCTTGTCAAATATGTAAATAGCATGTTTTTGCAGGTGCTAAAAACCAGACTCTGAGTGTGTGTGTGTGTGTGTGTGTGTGTGTGTGCGTGTGCGTGTGTGTGTGTCTGTGTGTGCGTTCAAGTCACATGACATATTTAACCGGATGTAGCTGCAAGACGGAGCCTCGTTGACTCTCCGTTTCAACTTATCTCAAAAGTGAGGACCTCAACCTATATACCAGTTTTTAAATTGTGTTGATAGGCCAAATAAAACCAGAGTTATGATAAATTATGTCCGCGATACTTTTTTTCTGCTTATTTTGATCACGTTCGGCGCTCGATCGCGCTGTATGAGACAGGAAAAACATAGCATGCAGACATTAGCGACAGGTCTTACAGGCGGAAAAGGCTTGCCAAAAGAAAAAAAAAACACACCACAACATCTCTCCTATTGGTGGAAAACTTCACCACAACAACCAATCCAAAATTATATGGTGACTGATTGACAAGGGGCGGGCGTTTACGTTCTTCCTGCAACATGAGAAGGGAGGGAGGGACTCTCAGCAGGGATGCAGTCTGGGACACGTAGTTGCAAACCTAGCGACTTTGTTGTTAGATTCAATGACTTTTCAGACCCCCTAACGACTTTTTTTTAGAAAGAAAGGGACTTTTATCTACTTCTTCTGGAGTTTAGAGACTCTGACATGAAGCAGGCTTTCCTTACTGAGGAGTTAGCAACGCTGCTAAGGGTGCAGAGCCACACATGCGCTCAGAGCTCTGCATGGGAGACTGAAGCTGACAGAGCTGCAGCAGTTAGCAGGTTTCACCCTCAGAGACCACCAGGGGTTCATGTTGAGGCATTTTTTTTTTTTTTTTTTTGTGCCATAGACACTGTCAGCACAATCTGCAGTTACACTAACAAAAATGCTGCAAAAAACAAAGGATTGTGGAAAAATTACACATGGACTGACATAGAGGAGGATCTACACAAGTATTTTACATCATGTTTTACATCATGCATCATTTACATCATGTTTTTTTGTAGTGGCATAAATAAAAAGTGACATTTGTGAGACTATACAGTGTTTTGTAAATAATTTTACAAAGAACGCCTGGGCCATTGCCTGCATTTTGATGTAAATAGAGGTAAATCACTATGTTCTTTGTTAAAAATTTGCATATGTTTTGAAGTTTACAATTTTTATTTGAAGTTTAAGTTTTAAAAACAGTTCATCACACATATTTGTGGTTTTCACAGTAAAAATGTTACTTTTTTCCACTCGGATTTTATGTTTTGTGTGTGAATTTGGGTCCATTGTGTAAATTCAGTATGTCAACATGATAAAATAACTGTAAATTCGCACAGGTGAGGTTGTGCTGAAAAAAATGATACCAGGCAAGGCACGTGATTGTCAAATTTTGTGTCAATATGACAAAGCGTATAGGCGTGAATCTCAACAATATGTATTTTCACCTTAGGGGACAAGAAAAAATGGACTTTTTTCTCCTGCCATGGGGGGGGGGGCGCTCTTTTGGGGAGTAAAAATTCCTTCACAAATGTGTTGATGGCTGGACATTGCATCATCCTAGAAAACTTGGAGGCCAGTGAGGACAAAAATAAAAAGTTATAAGACTTTTAAATATGTGGATTTTAGGGTTATCTTTGGCGCCCCCTAGAACCTAAACCGTGGGGTGCAGCGTCATGATTTGAATAACTTTTAATGGCCATTGGGGGTAGATTGGCCTGAGCAAATGTGGTGCCGGTGGAACGAAAGCCTTCGGAGGAGTTAGCGAAATTCCAATGTGTGCGGATCGGCAAAAAATGCGGAATAACCCTTTAACCGTACATTTGACAGATACGCGCGCATTGACTTTTTCGTAGATCTTATTGAGTTACATGTGTGTGTCAATTTTTGTGTCATTTTGACAAAGCGTATAGGCGTGACACTCAACAATGTGTATTTTCACCTTAGGGGACAAGAAAAAATGGACTTTTTTCTCCTGCCATGGGGGGGCGCTCTTTTGGGGAGTAAAAATTCCTTCACAAATGTGTTGATGGCTGGACATTGCATCATCCTAGAAAACTTGGAGGCCAGTGAGGACAAAAATAAAAAGTTATAAGACTTTTAAATATGTGGATTTTAGTGTTATCTTTGGCGCCCCCTAGAACGTAAACCGGTGGGGTGCAGCGTCATGATTTTGATAACTTTTAATGGCCACGGGGTGTAGATTGGCCTGAGCAAATGTGGTGCCGGTGGAACGAAAGCCTTCGGAGGAGTTAGCGAAATTCCAATGTGTGCGGATCGGCAAAAAATGCGAAATAACCCTTTAACCGTAATTTTGACAGATACGGCCGCACTGACTTTTTTGTAGATCTTATTGAGATACATATGTGTGTCAATTTTTGTGTCAATATGACAAAGCGTACAGGCGTGACAGTCAATAGTGTGAATTTCCACCTTAGGGGGCGCTATGGAGCCATTTTGCATTTTATTGTTTGGGCGACTTCAGAATATCGAATTTTTCACCAGGCCCGGTCGTCCTGCCAAATTTCATGAGTTTTCGCCAGTGGGAAGTGGGCCATTTTCCAGTTCAAAGGGGAGGAAAAAGAAAAAAGAAAGAAAGAAACAAAGAAAAACCACTTGGGGAATAATAGGGCCTACGCCCGGCTGCTCTGCAGCTGGCTCGGGCCCTAAAAAGAAAGAAAGAAACAAAGACTAGGACCCCGGTGGGGCACTGTCGGGCCCGAGCCGCGTTGCGCCGCCCCCAGCGCGACCGCCTCCCCCTCCCGATCGCGTCACACTCAAGGTCCAAAGATGGTGTGCGCACTTGTCTGTGGTCATTTCCCATTATAATGAATGGGAGGCGCAGTTTCTACCAAAACACTCGCTGCAGACAAACTACATGTCCTATTTGAAAAAAGTCTGGACCATGAGTGAGGGCACAAACACAGCTAGGATATATCCAAACGGCAAGTTGCTTCTCGTTACGGTGTTGCCGGGAGAGTAATGCGATTGAGCCATTGAGTGATGGGCAGGAAAAACTTGACTGTTTCTCCTGCCATGGGGGATGGGGGATGGGGGATGGGGGGGGGATGTGGATTCTTTTAAGAATGTGGATATTTGGGTCATCTTTGGCGCCCCCTAGAACGTAAACCGTGGGGTGCAGCGTCATGATTTTTACAACTTTGAATGGCCATGGCGTGTAGATTGGCCTGAGCAAATTTGGTGTCAGTGGGACGAAAGCCTTAGGAGGAGTTAGCCACATTCCAATGTGTGCGAATCGGCAAAAAATGCAAAATAGCCCTTTAACCGTACATTTTACAGATACGCGCGCGTTGACTTTTTCGTAGATCTTATTGAGATACATGTGTGTGTCAAATTTTGTGTCAATATGACAAAGCGTACAGGTATGACAGTCAACAATGTGTATTTTCACCTTAGGGGACAAGAAAAAATGGACTTTTTTCTCCTGCCATGGGGGGGCGCTCTTTTGGGGAGAAAAAAATTCCTTCACAAATGTGTTGATGGCTGGACAATGCATCATCCTAGAAAACTTGGAGGCCAGTGAGGACAAAAATAAAAAGTTATAAGACTTTTAAAAATGTGGATATTTGGGTCCTCTTTGGTGCCCCCTAGAACGTAAACCGTGGGGTGCAGCGTCATGATTTGTACAACTTTGAATGGCCATGGGGTGTAGATTGACCTGAGCAAATTTGAAGCCGATGGGACAAAAGCTTTAGGAGGAGTTAGCCACATTCCAATGTGTGCGAATCGGCAAAAAATGCGAAATAGCCCTTTAACCGTACATTGAACAGATACGCTCGCATTGACTTTTTCGTAGATCGTATTGAGATACATGTGTGTGTCAATTTTTGTGTCATTTTGACAAAGCGTAAAGGCGTGACAGTCAACAATGTGTATTTTCGCCTTAGGAGACAAGAAAAAATGGACTTTTTTCTCCTGCCATTGGGGGGCGCTCTTTTGGGGAGTAAAAATTCCTTCACAAATGTATTGATGGCTGGACATTGCATCATCCTAGAGAACTTGGAGGCCAGTGAGGACAAAAATAAAAAGTTATAAGACTTTTAAGACTGTGGATTTTTGGGTTATCTTTGGCGCCCCCTAGAACGTAAACCGTGGGGTGCAGCGTCATGATTTGTACAACTTTTAATGGCCATGGGGTGTAGATTGGCCTGAGCAAATGTGGTGCCGTTGGAACGAAACCCTTCGGAGGAGTTAGCGAAATTCCAATGTGTGCGGATCGGCAAAAAATGCGAAATAACCCTTTAACCGTACATTTGACAGATACGCCCGCACTGACTTTTTTGTAGATCTTATTGAGATACATGTGTGTGTCAATTTTTGTGTCAATATGACAAAGCGTAAAGGCGTGACAGTCAATAGTGTGAATTTTCACCTTAGGGGGCGCTATGGAGCCATTTTGCATTTTATTGTTTGGGCGACTTCAGAATATCGAATTTTTCACCAGGCCCGGTCGTCCTGTCAAATTTCATGAGTTTTCGCCAGTGGGAAGTGGGCCATTTTCCAGTTTAAAGCGGAGGAAAAATAATAATAATAATAATAACAAAAGAAGAATCCATCAGGAACAAGAGGGCTCTCGCAGCTGCTTAGCAGCTACGCTCGGGCCCTAACTAGGGCCCCGTTGGGGCACTGGCGGGCCCGAGCCGTGTCGCCCCCCCCCCCCCAACGCGCTGCCTCCCCGTCCCATTCGCGTCCTCTGGCCATCGCCCTCTCTGGTAACGCCCATCACTGCAAAGACCCTTTTCCTTCATCTGCGTTTGCTGTTCTTCCTGCCAGTGCGTGTTGCTTTCACTTACACTTGCCACAGCCAGCCTCGTGAGTGCCTAGCCTATTGGATATCACTGTCACCTACACAGGACAGTCATACTTTTAATTTCACATTAATTTCCATATTGTATAAACGACTGGAAAAAACTTGAGCCCCTGCCCCTGTATTATCATGTGCACGTCCCTGTTCTAGCTCCAAGGTGAATCTTCACTGCTCATGTTCTCCTCAGAAGCAGTCACCTCACTCCCCTCAGGTTACTGTACACATGCACCAACTGCCTGCTTCAGGTTTGGATGGAGCTTCATGGTTGTCTTTTGGAGAAATGAGCAGTCAAGTTGTGTTTGAAATTTGATTTTTTTCAGGGGCAAAAGGAAGCCTCTGCATTCTTGTCAAATATGTAAATAGCATGTTTTTGCAGGTGCTAAAAAACAGACTCTGAGTGTGTGTGTGTGTGTGTGTGTGTGTGTGTGTGTGTGTGTGTGTGTGTGTCTGTGTGTGTGTGTGTGTGTGTGTATCCTGCAGTACTCTGAGAAGAATAATAAGCATATTTCTGAGGTGAATTTTGAAGATTCATCTGAGAGTTAGGTTTGATTCGATTCGATTGACGCTCCCCAGCGTTCAAGTCACATGACATATTTAACCGGATGTAGCTGCAAGACAGAGCCTCGTTGACTCTCCGTTTCAAGTTATCTCAAAAGTGAGGACCTCAACCTATATACCAGTTTTTAAATTGTGTTGATAGGCCAAACAAAACCAGAGTTATGATAAATTATGTCCGCGATACTTTTTTTCTGCTTATTTTGATCACGTTCGGCGCTCGATCGCGCTGTATGAGACAGGAAAACATAGCATGCACACATTAGCGACAGGTCTTACAGGCAGAAAAGGCTTGCCAAAAGAAAAAAAAAAACACACAACAACATCTCTCCTATTGGTGGAAAACTTCACCACAACAACCAATCCAAAATTATATGGTGACTGATTGACAAGGGGCGGGCGCTTATGTTCTTCCTGCAACATGAGAAGGGAGGGAGGGACTCTCAGCAGGGATGCAGTCTGGGACACGTAGTTGCAAACCTAGCGACTTTGTTGTTAGATTCAATTACTTTTCAGACCCCCTAACGACTTTTTTTTAGAAAGAAAGGGACTTTTATCGACTTCTTCTGGAGTTTAGAGACTCTGACATGAAGCAGGCTTTCCTTACTGAGGAGTTAGCAACGCTGCTAAGGGTGCAGAGCCACACATGCGCTCCGAGCTCTGCATGGGAGACTGAAGCTGACAGAGCTGCAGCAGTTAGCAGGTTTCACCCTCAGAGACCACCAGGGGTTCATGTTGAGGCATTTTCAGTTTTTTTTTTTTCCCATAGACTGTCAGCACAATCTGCAGTTACACTAACAAAAATGCTGCAAAAAACAAAGAATTATGGAAAAATTACACATGGACTGACATAGAGGAGGATCTACACAAGTTTTTTACATCATGTTTTACATCATGCATCATTTACATCATGTTTTTTTGTAGTGGCATAAATAAAAAGTGACATTTGTGAGACTAAACAGTGTTTTGTAAATAATTTTACAAAGAACGCCTGGGCCATTGCCTGCATTTTGATGTAAATACAGGTAAATTACTATGTTCTTTGTTAAAAATTTGCATATGTTTTGAAGTTTACAATTTTTATTTGAAGTTTAAGTTTTAAAAACAGTTCATCACACATATTTGTGGTTTAATTTCACATTAATTTCCATATTGTATAAATGACTGGAAAAAACTTGAGCCCCTGCCCCTGTATAATCATGTGCACGTCCCTGTTCTAGCTCCAAGGTGAATCTTCACTGCTCATGTTCTCCTCAGAAATAGTCACCTCACTCCCCTCTGGTTACTGTACACATGCACCAACTATCTGCTTCAGGTTTGGATGGAGCTTCATGGTTGTCTTTTGGAGAAATGAACAGTCAAGTTGTGTTTGAAATTTGATTTTTTTCAGGGGCAAAAGGAAGCCTCTGCATTCTTGTCAAATATGTAAACAGCATGTTTTTGCAGGTGCTAAAAAACAGACTCTGAGTGTGTGTGTGTGTGTGTGTGTGTGTGTGTGTGTGTGTGTGTGTATCCTGCAGTACTCTGTACTCCTGCAGTGGCCAAAAAGACTTTTAAGAATGTGGATTTTTGGGTCATCTTTGGCGCCCCTAGAACTGCAGTACTCTGTACTCCTGCAGTGGCCAAAATGACTTTTAAGAATGTGGATTTTTGGGTCATCTTTGGTGCCCCCTAGAACGTAAACCGTGGGGTGCAGCGTCATGATTTTTACAACTTTGAATGGGCATGGGGTGTAGATTGCCCTGAGCAAATTTGGTATCGGTGGGACGAAAGCCTTAGGAGGAGATAGCCACATTCCAATGTGTGCGAATCGGCAAAAAATGCGAAATAGCCCTTTAACCGTACATTATACAGATACGCGCTTTTGACTTTTTCGTAGATCTAATTGAGATACACATGATTGTCAATTTTTGTGTCAATATGACAAAGCGTTCAGGCGTGACACTCAACAATGTGTATTTTCATGTAAGGGGACAAGAAAAAATTGACTTTTTTCTCCTGCCATGGGGGGAGCTCTTTTGGGGAGTAAAAATTCCTTCACAAATGTGTTGATGGCTGGACATTGCATCATCCTAGAAAACTTGGAGGGCAGTGAGGACAAAAATAAAAAGTTATAAGACTTTTAAGAATGTGGATTTTGGGTTATCTTTGGCGCCCCCTAGAACGTAAACCGTGGGGTGCAGCGTCATGATTTGTACAACTTTTAATGGCCATGGGGGGTAGATTGGCCTGCGCAAATGTGGTGCCGGTCGAACGAAAGCCTTCAGAGGAGTTAGCGAAATTCCAATGTGTGCAGATCTGCAAAAAATGCAAAATAACCCATTAACCGTACATTTGACAGATACGCCCGCACTGACTTTTTTGTAGATCTTATTGAGATACATGTGTGTGTCAATTTTTGTGTCAATATGACAAAGCGTACAGCCGCCATGTGAATTTTCACCTTAGGGGGCGCTATGGAGCCATTTTGCATTTTATTGTTTGGGCGACTTCAGAATATCGAATTTTTCACCAGGCCCGGTCGTCCTGCCAAATTTCCTGAGTTTTCGCCAGTGGGAAGTGGGCCATTTTCCAGTTTAAAGCGGAGGAAAAATAATAACGAAAGAAGGAAACATGCAGGAACAAGAGGGCTCTCGCAGCTGCTTAGCAGCTACGCTCGGGCCCTAACTAGGGCCCCGTTGGGGCACTGGCGGGCCCGAGCCGTGTCGCGAAACGCGCTGCCTCCCCGTCCCATTCGCGTCCTCTGGCCATCGCCCTCTCTGGTAACGCCCATCACTGCAAAGACCCTTTTCCTTCATCGGCGTTTGCTGTTCTTCCTGCCAGTGCGTGTTGCTTTCACTTACACTTGCCACAGCCAGCCTCGTGAGTGCCTAGCCTATTGGATATCACTGTCACCTACACAGGACAGTCATACTTTGTTTTTTAATTTCACATTAATTTCCATATTGTATAAACGACTGGAAAAAACTTGAGCCCCTGCCCCTGTATTATCATGTGCACGTCCCTGTTCTAGCTCCAAGGTGAATCTTCACTGCTCATGTTCTCCTCAGAAGCAGTCACCTCACTCCCCTCAGGTTACTGTACACATGCACCAACTGCCTGCTTCAGGTTTGGATGGAGCTTCATGGTTGTCTTTTGGAGAAATGAGCAGTCAAGTTGTGTTTGAAATTTGATTTTTTTCAGGGGCAAAAGGAAGCCTCTGCATTCTTGTCAAATATGTAAATGGCATGTTTTTGCAGGTGCTAAAAAACAGACTCTGAGTGTGTGTGTGTGTGTGCGTGCGTGTGTGTGTGTGTGTCTGTGTGTGTGTGTGTGTGTGTGTGCGTGTGTGTGTGTCTGTGTGTGCGTTCAAGTCACATGACATATTTAACCGGATGTAGCTGCAAGACGGAGCCTCGTTAACTCTCCGTTTAAACTTATCTCAAAAGTGAGGACCTCAACCTATATACCAGTTTTTAAATTGTGTTGATAGGCCAAATAAAACCAGAGTTATGATAAATTATGTCCGCGATACTTTTTTTCTGCTTATTTTGATCACGTTCGGCGCTCGATCGCGCTGTATGAGACAGGAAAACATAGCATGCACACATTAGCGACAGGTCTTACAGGCGGAAAAGGCTTGCCAAAAGAAAAAAAAAACACACCACAACATCTCTCCTATTGGTGGAAAACTTCACCACAACAACCAATCCAAAATTATATGGTGACTGATTGACAAGGGGCGGGCGCTTACGTTCTTCCTGCAACATGAGAAGGGAGGGAGGGACTCTCAGCAGGGATGCAGTCTGGGACACGTAGTTGCAAACCTAGCGACTTTGTTGTTAGATTCAATGACTTTTCAGACCCCCTAACGACTTTTTTAGAAAGAAAGGGACTTTTATCGACTTCTTCTGGAGTTTAGAGACTCTGACATGAAGCAGGCTTTCCTTACTGAGGAGTTAGCAACGCTGCTAAGGGTGCAGAGCCACACATGCGCTCCGAGCTCTGCATGGGAGACTGAAGCTGAGAGAGCTGCAGCAGTTAGCAGGTTTCACCCTCAGAGACCACCAGGAGTTCATGTTGAGGCATTTTCAGTTTTTTTTTTTTTTTGCCATAGACACTGTCAGCACAATCTGCAGTTACACTAACAAAAATGCTGCAAAAAACAAAGAATTATGGAAAAATTACACATGGACTGACATAGAGGAGGATCTACATAAGTTTTTTACATCATGTTTTACATCATGCATCATTTACATCATGTTTTTTTGTAGTGGCATAAATAAAAAGTGACATTTGTGAGACTATACAGTGTTTTGTAAATAATTTTACAAAGAACGCCTGGGCCATTGCCTGCATTTTGATGTAAATAGAGGTAAATTACTATGTTCTTTGTTAAAAATTTGCATATGTTTTGAAGTTTACAATTTTTATTTGAAGTTTAAGTTTTAAAAACAGTTCATCACACATATTTGTGGTTTAATTTCACATTAATTTCCATATTGTATAAATGACTGGAAAAAACTTGAGCCCCTGCCCCTGTATAATCATGTGCACGTCCCTGTTCTAGCTCCAAGGTGAATCTTCACTGCTCATGTTCTCCTCAGAAGTAGTCACCTCACTCTCCTCAGGTTACTGTACACATGCACCAACTATCTGCTTCAGGTTTGGATGGAGCTTCATGGTTGTCTTTTGGAGAAATGAACAGTCAAGTTGTGTTTGAAATTTGATTTTTTTCAGGGGCAAAAGGAAGCCTCTGCATTCTTGTCAAATATGTAAACAGCATGTTTTTGCAGGTGCTAAAAAACAGACTCTGAGTGTGTGTGTGTGTGTGTGTGTGTGTGTGTGTGTGTGTGTGTGTGTTGGCGTGTGTGTATATGTGTGTGTGTCCGGCAGTACTCTGTACTCCTGCAGTGGCCAAAAAGACTTTTAAGAATGTGGATTTTTGGGTCATCTTTGGCGCCCCCTAGAACTGCAGTACTCTGTACTCCTGCAGTGGCCAAAATGACTTTTAAGAATGTGGATTTTTGGGTCATCTTTGGCGCCCCCTAGAACGTAAACCGTGGGGTGCAGCGTCATGATTTTTACAACTTTGAATGGCCATGGGGTGTGGATTGCCCTGAGCAAATTTGGTATCGGTGGGACGAAAGCCTTAGGAGGAGTTAGCCACATTCCAATGTGTGCGAATCGGCAAAAAATGCGAAATAGCCCTTTAACCATACATTTGACAGATACGTGCCTATTGACTTTTTTGTAGATCTTATTGAGATACACGTGATTGTCAAATTGTGTGTCAATATGACAAAGTGTATAGGCGTGACACTCAACAATGTGTATTTTTACCTTAGGAGACAAGAAAAAATGGACTTTTTTCTCCTGCCATGGGGGGGCGCTCTTTTGGGGAGTAAAAATTCCTTCACAAATGTGTTGATGGCTGGACATTGCATCATCCTAGAAAACTTGGAGGCCAGTGAGGACAAAAATAAAAAGTTATAAGACTTTTAAGAATGTGGATTTTTGGGTTATCTTTGGCGCCCCCTAGAAAGTAAACCGTGGGGTGCAGCATCATGATTTGTACAACTTTTAATGGCCATGGGGTGTAGATTGGCCTGAGCAAACTTGGTGCCGGTGGAACGAAAGCCTTCGGAGGAGTTAGCGAAATTCCAATGTGTGCGGATCGGCAAAAAAAGCGAAATAGCCCTTTAACCGTACATTTGGCAGATACGCCCGCACTGACTTTTTCGTAGATCTTATTGAGATACACATGTGTGTCAAATTTTGTGTCATTTTGACAAAGCGTACAGGCATCAGGTGAGTTTTCACCATAGGGGGCGCTATGGAGCCATTTTTCATTTTTTTGTTTGGACGACTTCAGAATATCAAATTTTTCACCAGGCCCGGTCGTCCTGCCAAATTTCCTGAGTTTTCGCCAGTGGGAAGTGGGCCATTTTCCAGTTTAAAGCGGAGGAAAAATAACGAAAGAAGAATCCATCAGGAACAAGAGGGCTCTCGCAGCTGCTTAGCAGCTACGCTCGGGCCCTAAAAAGAAGGAAACATGCAGGAACAAGAGGGCTCTCGCAGCTGCTTAGCAGCTACGCTCGGGCCCTAAAGAAGAATCCATCAGGAATAATAGGGCTCTCGCAGCTGCTTAGCAGCTACGCTCGGGCCCTAACTAGGACCCCGTTGGGGCACTGGCGGGCCCGAGCCTGTTTTTAAATTGTGTTGATAGGCCAAATAAAACCAGAGTTATGATAAATTATGTCCGCGATACTTTTTTTCTGCTTATTTTGATCACGTTCGGCGCTCGATCGCGCTGTATGAGACAGGAAAACATAGCATGCAGACATTAGTGACAGGTCTTACAGGCGGAAAAGGCTTGCCAAAAGAAAAAAAAAAACACACCACAACATCTCTCCTATTGGTGGAAAACTTCACCACAACAACCAATCCAAAATTATATGGTGACTGATTGACAAGGGGCGGGCGCTTACGTTCTTCCTGCAACATGAGAAGGGAGGGAGGGACTCTCAGCAGGGATGCAGTCTGGGACACGTAGTTGCAAACCTAGCGACTTTGTTGTTAGATTCAATGACTTTTCAGACCCCCTAACGACTTTTTTTTAGAAAGAAAGGGACTTTTATCGACTTCTTCTGGAGTTTAGAGACTCTGACATGAAGCAGGCTTTCCTTACTGAGGAGTTAGCAACGCTGCTAAGGGTACAGAGCCACACATGCGCTCAGAGCTCTGCATGGGAGACTGAAGCTGACTGAGCTGCAGCAGTTAGCAGGTTTCACCCTCAGAGACCACCAGGGGTTCATGTTGAGGCATTTTAAATTTTTTTTTTTTTTTTGTGCCATAGACACTGTCAGCACAATCTGCAGTTACACTAACAAAAATGCTGCAAAAAACAAAGAATTATGGAAAAATTACACATGGACTGACATAGAGGAGGATCTCCACAAGTTTTTTACATCATGTTTTACATCATGCATCATTTACATCATGTTTTTTTGTAGTGGCATAAATAAAAAGTGACATTTGTGAGACTATACAGTGTTTTGTAAATAATTTTACAAAGAACGCCTGGGCCATTGCCTGCATTTTGATGTAAATAGAGGTAAATTACTATGTTCTTTGTTAAAAATTTGCATATGTTTTGAAGTTTACAATTTTTATTTGAAGTTTAAGTTTTAAAAACAGTTCATCACACATATTTGTGGTTTAATTTCACATTAATTTCCATATTGTATAAATGACTGGAAAAAACTTGAGCCCCTGCCCCTGTATAATCATGTGCACGTCCCTGTTCTAGCTCCAAGGTGAATCTTACTGCTCATGTTCTCCTCAGAAATAGTCACCTCACTCCCCTCAGGTTACTGTACACATGCACCAACTATCTGCTTCAGGTTTGAAATGGAGCTTCATGGTTGTCTTTTGGAGAAATGAACAGTCAAGTTGTGTTTGAAATTTGATTTTTTTCAGGGGCAAAAGGAAGCCTCTGCATTCTTGTCAAATATGTAAACAGCATGTTTTTGAAGGTGCTAAAAACCAGACTCTGAGTGTGTGTGTGTGTGTCTGTGTGTGTGTGTGTGTGTGTGTATGTTGGCGTGTGTGTATATGTGTGTGTATCCTGCAGTACTCTGTACTCCTGCAGTGGCCAAAAAGACTTTTAAGAATGTGGATTTTTGGGTCATCTTTGGCGCCCCCTAGAACTGCAGTACTCTGTACTCCTGCAGTGGCCAAAATGACTTTTAAGAATGTGGATTTTTGGGTCATCTTTGGCGCCCCCTAGAACGTAAACCGTGGGGTGCAGCATCATGATTTTTACAACTTTGAATGGGCATGGGGTGTAGATTGCCCTGAGCAAATTTGGTATCGGTGGGACGAAAGCCTTAGGAGGAGATAGCCCACATTCCAATGTGTGCGAATTGGCAAAAAATGCAAAATAGCCCTTTAACCGTACATTATAAAGATACGCGCTCTTTGACTTTTTCGTAGATCGAATTGAGATACACATGATTGTCAATTTTTGTGTCAGTATGACAAAGCGTTCAGGCGTGACACTCAACAATGTGTATTTTCATGTAAGGGGACAAGAAAAAATGGACTTTTTTCTCCTACCATGGGGGGCGCTCTTTTGGGGAGTAAAAATTCCTTCACAAATGTGTTGATGGCTGGACATTGCATCATCCTAGAAAACTTGGAGGCCAGTGAGGACAAAAATAAAAAGTTATAAAACATTTAAGAATGTGGATTTTTGGGTTATTTTTGGCGCCCCCTAGAACCTAAACCATGGGGTGCAGCATCATGATTTGAATAACTTTTAATGGCCATGGGGTGTAGATTGGCCTGAGCAAATGTGGTGCCGGTGGAATGAAAGCCTTCGGAGGAGTTAGCGAAATTCCAATGTGTGCGTATCGGCAAAAAATGCGGAATAACCCTTTAACTGTACATTTGACAGATACGCGCGCATGGACTTTTTTGTCGATCTTATTGAGTTACATGTGTGTGTCAATTTTTGTGTCATTTTGACAAAGCGTATAGGCGTGACACTCAACAATGTGTATTTTCACCTTAGGGGACAAGAAAAAATTGGACTTTTTTCTCCTGCCATGGGGGGGCGCTCTTTTGGGGAGTAAAAATTCCTTCACAAATGTGTTGATGGCTGGACATTGCATCATCCTAGAAAACTTGGAGGCCAGTGAGGACAAAAATAAAAAGTTATAAGACTTTTAAATATGTGGATTTTAGTGTTATCTTTGGCGCCCCCTAGAACCTAAACCTTGGGGTGCAGCGTCATGATTTTGATAACTTTTAATGGCCACGGGGTGTAGATTGGCCTGAGCAAATGTGGTGCCGGTGGAACGAAAGCCTTCGGAGGAGTTAGCCACATTCCAATGTGTGCGGATCGGCAAAAAATGCGAAATAACCCTTTAACCGTAATTTTGACAGATACGGCCGCACTGACTTTTTTGTAGATCTTATTGAGATACATATGTGTGTCAATTTTTGTGTCAATATGACAAAGCGTACAGGCGTGACAGTCAATAGTGTGAATTTCCACCTTAGGGGGCGCTATGGAGCCATTTTGCATTTTATTGTTTGGGCGACTTCAGAATATCGAATTTTTCACCAGGCCCGGTCGTCCTGCCAAATTTCATGAGTTTTCGCCAGTGGGAAGTGGGCCATTTTCCAGTTCAAAGGGGAGGAAAAAGAAGAAAGAAAGAAAGAACTAGGGCCCCGTTGGGGCACTGGCGGGCCCGAGCCGCGTTGCGCCGCCCCCAGTGCGACCGCCTCCCCCTCCCGATCGCGTCACACTCAAGGTCCAAAGATGATGTGCGCACTTGTCTGTGGTCATTTCCCATTATAATGAATGGGAGGCGCAGTTTCTACCAAAACACTCGCTGCAGACAAACTACATGTCCTATTTGAAAAAAGTCTGGACCATGAGTGAGGGCACAAACACAGCTAGGATATATCCAAACGGCAAGTTGCGCCTCGTTACGGTGTTGCCGGGAGAGCGATGCGATTGAGCCATTGAGTGATGGGCAGGAAAAACTTGACGCTTTCTCCTGCCATGGGGGATGGGGGATGGGAGGGGAAAGGGATGTGGATTCTTTTAAGAATGTGGATATTTGGGTCATCTTTGGCGCCCCTTAGAACGTAAACCGTGGGGTGCAGCGTCATGATTTTTAAAACTTTGAATGGCCATGGGGTGTAGATTGGCCTGAGCAAATTTGGTGTCAGTGGGACGAAAGCCTTAGGAGGAGTTAGCCACATTCCAATGTGTGCTAATCAGCAAAAAATGCAAAATAGCCCTTTAACCGTACATTTTACAGATACGCGCGCATTGACTTTTTCGTAGATCTTATTGAGATACATGTGTGTGTCAAATTTTGTGTCAATATGACAAAGCATACAGGTATGACAGTCAACAATGTGTATTTTCACCTTATGGGACAAGAAAAAATGGACTTTTTTCTCCTGCCATGGGGGGGCGCTCTTTTAGGGAGTAAAAATTCCTTCACAAATGTGTTGATGGCTGGACATTGCATCATCCTAGAAAACTTGGAGGCCAGAGAGGACAAAAATAAAAAGTTATAAGACTTTTAAATATGTGGATTTTAGGGTTATCTTTGGCGCCCCCTAATACCTAAACCGTGGGGTGCAGCGTCATGATTTGAATAACTTTTAATGGCCATGGGGTGTAGATTGGCCTGAGCAAATGTGGTGCCGGTGGAACGAAAGCCTTCGGAGGAGTTAGCGAAATTCCAATGTGTGCGGATCGGCAAAAAATGCACAATAACCCTTTAACCGTACATTTGACAGATACGCCCGCACTGACTTTTTTGTAGATCTTATTGAGATACATGTGTGTGTCAATTTTTGTGTAATTTTGACAAAGAGTACAGGCGTGACAGTCAATAGTGTGAATTTTCACCTTATGGAACAAGAAAAAATGGACTTTTTTCTCCTGCCATGGGGGGGCGCTCTTTTGGGGAGTAAAAATTCCTTCACAAATGTGTTGATGGCTGGACATTGCATCATCCTAGAAAACTTGGAGGCCAGTGAGGGCAAAAATAAAAAGTTATAAGACTTTGAAATATGTGGATTTTAGGGTTATCTTTGGCGCCCCCTAGAACATAAACCGTGGGGTGCAGCGTCATGATTTGAATAACTTTTAATGGCCATGGGGTGTAGATTGGCCTGAGCAAATGTGGTGCCGGTGGAACGAAAGCCTTCGGAGGAGTTAGCGAAATTCCAATGTGTGCGGATCGGCAAAAAATGCGAAATAACCCTTTAACCGTACATTTGACAGATACGCCCGCACTGACTTTTTTGTAGATCTTATTGAGATACATGTGTGTGTCAATTTTTGTGTCATTTTGACAAAGCGTACAGGCGTCAGGTGAATTTTTCACCTTAGGGGGCGCTATGGAGCCATTTTGCATTGTATTGTTTGGGCGACTTCAGAATATCAAATTTTTCACCAGGCCCGGTCGTCCTGCC